GATGCCGAGATTGCGAGGGCGCATTTGGAGGAGAGGATGAACACGATTAGCAAGAAGAAGAAGAAGGGGAGCCTGAATTGCTTTTAGAGGGGGCAAGGACGGCAGGGGACTGGCGGTGTTGGTGGTGTTTGGAATGTGATGAAGAGGGTTTTGGTTGCGGGGTTGGTGGTGGTGTGGTTGGTGGTTATTGGGGTGCTGGCTTTGGTTGTGAAGGGGTTGTGGAGGGTGGTTGGGGGAAGAGAGGAAGAATGAGTTGTGTGGGAGTGTGTGTGGTTGTGTCAGTCATGGCCTTTCAATCTTATGATGTGGATGTCCGTTTTTATGTCCCTTTTTTTTTTTTTTTTTGCTTTTATTTCTCCACCGCCTTTTTTTCTTCTTTTTTTTCTTTTGCACAGCTTTATTTTTTAACTTTGTCTTCTCTGATTCCCCCTTTTATTTTACTTTACTGTTCTTATTTTTATTTTTATTCTCTCTTCTTTTCTTGTCTATTTTTGAACAGGGACACATCACTTTGGTTGTTGGTTTGGTTTGGTTTTTGTTTGGATGAATAACTTGTTCCTTGTGCTTGCGAAAGGGAATTGGAATGGGAATGGGTGGGTCGTTGTTGTGGTTGTGGTTTTCCAGTTACGTTTGTTTATATAACACATCATTCCCTGTTCTCATGAACGAAGAAACTTCTTTATACCCCCCCTCTATCTGCAGACAAACACATATCAGTTGAGAAAGAAAGAAAGAAAGAAAGAGAAAAACGGAAGTGAAATGGAGAGTAGGTTTATGTTAATGAGATGAGAGTAAAAAGACATTTGAATGAGACCTTTTGTTGTATGTGTTTGTGACATGGTAGTTTCTGATATGGACTTGGTTTGGTTGCAAAGTGTTTTGAGTGTTTTGTTGTCAGGTGCGGTTGAAGGGCTTTCTACGATTATCTGATGTTATTTTTACGTACCTATCTTGAAACGTTGATGTTAAAAGAGAAAGATGGAGGCTGGGCTAGATTATGTAGGAACCCGAGGGTTTAAACACCTTGCTTTGGGGCAGGATGTTTTAGACAGGATTATACTCGGTTACTTTGCTCCAGGCACGGTGCGATCAGCCAATGGGCAATCCAAACGACAGTTAAAGATATTATCTATTTAAAGTATATTTCCCTCATATTCTAGTTTACAAGATGTACCAATCATCATCCTATGGAGCTCCTTTCCTGGGCAAGGTAGTGATCTCGTTTTTCTACAGTGGCTATACACCACCAAGCCATGTCAAGTGCCGATTTTGAAGGCCTGGCAAGTACCTAGTTAACATAGTGTATTGTGTTCCCTCTACCTTTTCATTTTACATAAAAGCAAGAGGTAGCTAGAACTCTCATAAACTTGTAAATATCTGAAAATAGTCTCTGTTTTCTAGCTTCCCTGCTCTCAGTCTGGCTCTCTTTGTGTGACAATCTCCTTGCTACCTTATTGAGAGTCAGTCAAAGATGACGATATCACTTACACACCCTCTACCTACCAGGTAGGATCGGGAAAATGTTTATGTCATGACATCGGAGGAGCAGGCAGACAAAGACTAGTTAGTGGGACGGGAGGTCCATGTGGAACTGGGAATAGTCTCAAGTATGACGAAACGCATACATACATCGGACAACTCAAGAGAACTACAATCCTGCAGTTGATGGGTGGCCGGTCTTATATACGGGCTTTCCCTCGGCTTCCTTCAATCTACCCACATCCTTGATGCTATGCCGTATGCTTAATCTTAATTAAAGTGACTCTTTCTATCACATGTGTCCAGCACAGGACCACCACCGCGTGTTGTTGTTCCCCTTTTCCCCTCCTCCCATACGTCCGGAAGGCCCCGGTTGTAGGGGTTGACGTATGACGTTGTTCCTGGTGGCGGGCTGGCTGTCTACAGGTGGGGTCGTCTCTTGGTCTGGTCGTTGTACACCACAGTTCTGGGGTTCAAGGATACGGAAGGAATGAGGGGCATACACGAGGGAAAACACAAGAGTGCCATGACTCTCGTCCCCAGTGACGATCCGGACTGGGCGCTCTGAATAGGTTTAGATTTGTTGTTAGTTGGTTAGTTCGAGGGTACTTCCGCTGCTCCGGAACTGGTGGATGGGAACAAAAAAAGACATGGGGAAATATTTCGCCCAGTCCAGTCCAGTCCGAGCATTTGAGTTTTATGGTGGATTAAAAGGAACAATCAAGTTCGAGGCCCCTTCCATTGGAGAATGTGGGGAGTGGTAATGGCCCGCGATTCTGGGGAAAAAGGGGCACAAGACACACACACACACACACACACACACATAAGAGGACACGAGGGAAGGGGGGGCAAATGGATAAGGACAAGGAAAGTCACTGATGGTTATCCCTGGTTCGTTGGATGCACATGCTCATACCCGAGGTGTATGTGAGAATATGGCTTCCCGAGCTTCCCTTCATCCCCAGGAAGTCGGGTTAGCCTTGGCCCACCGGCACTTGGGAATGTCCCGGCAGCCGGGCAGCCGCAACTGTCCAACGTCGTTGCACAGACACACACAGACAACACACCCGTCTTATCACGATAGCGGTGGTCCACTGCAGGAACAAGGTGGTACCCCGGCTCATGTTCGTTCGTTCGTTCGTCTCGGTCTTCGGTATTTGCTGTGAGGGAGAAAATGGACAATAAAAAGCGAGGAGCGGGCCGGGATAGCCGTTCGAGAAGAAGACGGTGCGTCATGTCCTCGACTTTCCGAGGTGGCCATCCCGTGATGTTGGGAGTGACGGACAATGACGCCAGCCCATCTAGGGATTCCATAAAGACAGGTCGTGACAGCAACGGGGGGAGCCAACGGTGATGGTCGCCAAGAGGCGCTGTGCTTTGAATGCGGTTGGGATCAGTGCGGGGAAGGCCCATCTTATGGCGATGCGGCGTTGCGAAGGCATCATGTCTTTCCCTGTCCAAGGCGCCTCCTCCGTCACCGAGGACCCCACCGGGTCTCGATCCGGTAGCGGCTCAATGCCAAGAACGAGATCGCTGTAAAAGGAGGGGCCCGGCAGAGTGTGGGGTAAAGAAGCAGCAGAAGGTGAGGGCAAAGGAGGAGGACCAGTTAGGTACCGGTACATGGCCTTGGAGAGTTAAGGTTATTCCTGTTATGTTTTAGCTGATTACTTATTAGTCAAAGTGTTTTGTTGGTACATTGAAGATTATTGAAGATGGCATATTCGAGTGTGGTGTAAGGTATCATCAGGATGAGGGTGACTGCATTCCCACGACGGCAGGGTGGTCCCTGCAGCAGCAGCATAGACAACGACGGGAGCAGTAGTATTGACGCTGAAGAAGTGCGGCTTGTTTGGGAAGCTGCTTGGTCGCGTAGGTAGGGCATCGCATCGCATTGCGACAACAGCCAACCGGCCGGGCTCCGATAGTAGCAGACACACCACGAAGGGGTTGAATCGATCAGGCATACGGCGGCCCGCAGACGTTCGTTCGTTCGTTCGGTTGCATGCCGCTGAAGAGGTTTGTCGAGATGATGGCATCCACAATCCCCATCAGATAAGGACAAACCCCCACTGTCTGAAGTGAGGCGCGCGCCATTTTATTAGGAGCGCTAGGCTTTGACGGTTGAGAGAATTCCCAAATTCCAACTCAAGTCGTCACTTCGCAGTCTCGGGCCGCTTCCAAATAGAAGGTTGTGTGTGATAGATGCAACTCTCTCACAATTCAAACACGGCAACCGCCTGTCTGCTGGACACCACTGACACCGTTCCGGTGACCTCGAGGCAACCCTGCCATGCGTCTGTGTTCCCGGTGCAGCACACTCTCCACAGACTGGGAGCAGCCTGCCGCGTCCGGAGGAGACACTTGTGCCATCTCGACTCATCATCCACAGGCGAGGCAAGGAGCCCTGGCTATTCGCCGCACCGGACTGCCGCATGCCCGCGTCCACCGCACGGCTGGCACCGGCCCTTCGTCTCAAGGTGTGTCGTTTCAGGGGAAACAACTTTTCTCGAGCCTCTAGGTCTCTCTTTCTCTCTTGAGTAGGCGTGCAAATAGGGCTGGTGGTCTTCTTCCCCTTTGCGGTAACAAGGGCCCGTCCATGGATATTGCATGTCTGGTGTGCAGCGAATAGTCAGTGGTCGGGCGGAAGGAAATCCACAACGGTGGTCTTGGGGCTTGGTGTCTGGGGATGGGCTCGTGGCCGTCTCTCTGCGTCGTTGTATCGGTACAAGCTCCGGTCCGGCAGAGAGCTGGGAAGTGAGAAAAAAGAAAATGCCCACACCCACACCCCTCCCCCTGAATGCCTCCCCTCGCGCTCCCCCATCCCAGCTTCCACCCTTCACCCATGCACCGTGTCCATCCAGGCGGGTATCCTTCGTCTCGTCTTCTGCCATAATACAAAAACGCCCGCTCCTCCCCAACATTGTCCGTCAGTCCAGCTCACCCAATCTCCCACTCATCTGTCCCACCTCCTTTCCACCCTCTACCACCACTACTTGTTCCTACCGGCTGCTCCTGTCTGGCTTGGCTGGGCCATTACTACTACTGCTGCGACGAACATTCTCCCGCTTTGCTAAAGCACCAAAAAGTTCCTACCCCGCCATCACCAACACCAACACCACCATCATGGGCGAGCAGTCTCCCAAGGCGCCAGTAGTGGCCGAGGCCCACGCTGTTGACACTTTCCGTGAGTTCTTGTCCCGTCCTGGAGTATAGACGGTGAAACTGACAGAGCGGCTTTCCTGCCTGCTCCCAACAGACCCTCCCCAGAAGATGCTTGACAGTAAGTTTGGGTCCATGTCGTGCGCCAAGGTGTTGTGGCCCTGTCGCGGGGCGCACACACACAACACCTGGACGAACGGAAGCATTGGAGCTAACCACGTTTGTGACAGAGCACCCGAGCAAACCTCACTTGAGCAGTAAGACACGACCCCACCCCCCGCTGAATACCCCGCGGCCGTCCTCCTTGTCCCGAGCCTGGGCGCGCCTGGGCGGTTGGTCTCTACGTCACATCGCGCGCTGACACCGGTACCGCAGGTCTCGAGGAATATCAGAAACTCTACAAGGAATCCATCACCGAACCCAAGAAGTTCTGGGGGAGGCTGGCGCGTGAGCTCCTGACCTGGTCTAAGGATTTCCAGACTGTCCACAGCGGCTCCCTCGCCGGGGGTGACAATGCCTGGTTCCTGGAGGGTGAGCTCAATGCGTCATACAACTGTGTCGATCGCCATGCCTTCAAGGACCCCAACAAGGTCGCCATCATCTACGAAGCCGACGAGCCCTCGGACGGCCGGAACGTCACCTACGGCGAGCTCCTGCGCGATGTCTCCAAGCTCGCCCACGTGCTCACCCAGATGGGCGTGCGCAAGGGCGACACCGTGGCCATCTACCTGCCCATGATCCCGGAGGCTATCGTTGCCCTTCTTGCTTGCAGCAGAATCGGCGCCGTTCACTCGGTGGTCTTTGCCGGTTTCTCGGCCGACTCGCTTCGCGACCGTGTCATCGATGGCGGTTCCAAGGTGGTCATCACCACCGACGAGGGCAAGCGTGGTGGAAAGTTGATTGGGACAAAGAAGATTGTCGATGAGGCTCTCAAGCAGTGCCCCGATGTCGGCCACGTGCTTGTGTACAAGCGCACCGGCGCCGACATCCCCATGACCGAGGGTCGCGATTTCTGGTGGCACGAGGAGGTTGAGAAGTGGCCCTCATACTACCCCCCCGTGGCCGTCAACTCGGAGGACCCTCTCTTCCTCCTCTACACCTCCGGCTCTACCGGCAAGCCCAAGGGTGTCATGCACACCACCGGCGGTTATCTCCTGGGCGCCGCCACCACCGGAAAGTATGTGTTCGACATTCACGATGGCGACAGGTACTTCTGCGGCGGTGATGTCGGCTGGATTACCGGTCACACCTATGTCGTCTACGCCCCACTCCTCCTGGGTGTGTCCACCGTCGTTTTCGAGGGTACACCCGCCTACCCCAACTTTTCCAGATACTGGGATATCATTGAGCAACACAAGGTCACACAGTTCTATGTTGCTCCCACTGCCCTGCGTCTCCTGAAGCGCGCCGGCAACCAGCATGTGCGCAACGAGATGAAGCACCTCAGAGTTCTTGGCTCCGTCGGTGAGCCAATCGCCGCCGAGATCTGGAAGTGGTACTTTGAGGTTGTTGGCAAGGAGGAGGCTCACATTGTGGACGTAAGTCGCTCACCTTCGGCCCTGCAAGAGACCACCTCTCACTGACGACTAATCACAGACGTACTGGCAAACCGAGACCGGCTCCAACGTCATCACCCCTCTTGCTGGTGTTACTCCCACCAAGCCCGGCTCCGCCTCTCTTCCCTTCTTCGGCATCGAGCCTGCGATCGTCGACCCTGTCTCTGGCGAGGAGATCCATGGCAACGATGTCGAGGGTGTCCTTGCCTTCAAGCAGCCCTGGCCAAGCATGGCTCGCACCGTCTGGGGCGCCCACAAGCGCTACATGGACACTTACCTGAACGTGTACAAGGGCTACTACGTGAGTATCCGCTGCCTCTGCTGTTGCAAGGCTTTCAGGCTAACAAGTGATGTAGTTCACGGGCGATGGTGCCGGTCGCGATCACGAGGGCTTCTACTGGATCCGTGGCCGTGTTGATGACGTTGTCAACGTCAGCGGTCACCGTCTCAGCACGGCTGAGATCGAGGCCGCCCTCATTGAGCACGCCTCCATTGCCGAGGCGGCCGTCGTTGGGGTTGCCGACGAGCTCACCGGCCAGGCTGTCAACGCCTTTGTGTCCATCAAGAACGGCGCCGAAGTCGATGATGCCCTCCGCAAGGACTTCATCCTCCAGGTCCGCAGGAGTATTGGCCCCTTCGCGGCGCCCAAGGCCGTGTTTGTTGTCCCAGATCTTCCCAAGACCCGCAGCGGCAAGATCATGAGACGTATTCTCAGAAAGATTCTTGCCGGTGAGGAGGACCAGCTTGGCGACATCAGCACTCTCTCGGACCCATCTGTTGTTGAGAAGATCATCAACATTGTGCACGAGGGCAAGAAGAAATAAGCGTTTGTGAGCATGTTGTGTGCGAGTAGGGAAGAGGGATGATCGGGATGGGAGATTATATATACCACTATACGACCAACTTGGGCTGGGTTTGAAGGAACGGCGTCCCCTGGATGGATCAAACGAGGCATGGCAGAAAATAACTTGGGCGTGCCAAGTTAATTTTTGGTTTTGGGAGTCGGGCATTTACTTGCTTTTGAGAGTCATTTTTTGTTTTTGTTTCTGGTCTGGGAGAAAGCGTGGAACGCGTTGCGAGTTCTGTTTTGTTGTAAATGGATCTTTGGACGTTTGGTTTCCTTTTTTTTTGGATTATCATCGATGTCTTAAAAGATGAGATATGGAGGGTGGATGTTCCTACTGGGAGATTGGGATTTTCCGTCTGTGTTTATTGATTTGCTATGGTAGCAAGAAATACAAAAACAGTTAAAGTATTTGAGGTTGCTCGGTTGCGTTTGGTGTTGTGAACTTTTATTGATCGCTGTTGGCAGCAGCCCGTCATCGTATAGCACTTGACTCTACATCACAACAAAGGGATCCGGAGTTCTACTTCTTCTCATCAACATACAACCATCATCACCACTTCGGGCCTTGAGCACGGCTGTCCCTCATCCTATTTATTCCAGCTAAACGAGAGATGTAATTTGTGCTGAACCAAAGCCTACCTACACACATACTCAGTATTTCATGAACTCAACAATTGTTATCGATAATCAAAGACGAGCTGAGATCGGGGAAGACTGTTGCGAGTCAAGGTGATAGATCGCTGGGCCATGTTGGGGGGAAGCAGGTGTTGATGGAAAGCCTTGTAATAGATGTATGTTTCATGTTATTGATTCACCTCGATTCGACTAATTCGGCACACTACAAATGTGTTTATATAGTCTTTCGGTCTGATATTGAGCTGATGCATCGACCCTCTTGGACTGTAAGAGTTTTCAGTGGGGGCGCTGAGGTCAGAGAGATTTGTGAGACGTCGTTCGGGGGTGACAGAGCATAAGCATATATAGGTGAGGCGCTTGTCTGTCTGTGTATTCTACCCTCACGGTCTATCTGTCTCTCGCCTTGACTCGATAACGGTTGAGAAGCCCGGGAGAACAGCACCCTGCCCACAAGATATTTGACACACACAAATATGACAGCCCGTGTTATATTGCGAACTACACCTTGCAGGATAGCCACTAGGCTTTCAAATATGGTTAATAGGCCTCTGAAGATAATTAAAAGGCCTATTGATTTACTTTCGAGGCATGGTTTACAACATTGTATGGGCCAACTTACTTTTGCTTTGTCAACTTTTCTGTGGGCAGGGTGCCTGTCACCAAGAGTGCAAGAAACCTCGATCCCTTAGGGCTTGAGATGTAGGCCTTACTAAGATCATCATGTGCTTCTGCCATAAGGATACAACGTATATGTGCTCAAGAGGCGTGGTGCTGTATGTGCATCATCCAGCATTTGAAGATGAGAGGGGAATATCACTTGCAGATCTGGTAGATTATACGCATGCGGAATCTTGGAGGGAGTATATCTGACTTCCTGGGGGCAGAAAAGGCGAGCCTTGCACAACCTGTCTGATATCCGTCACTGTCTACCAGATTTTCGTCTGACAACAGTAGCGACTTTGGAATCAACAAGCCGGATAACTCGGCCCACAGGCCACTTCTGAGGCCTCCTGGCCATGGAGACCCGAAGACAGTATCAAAAAATCGTCATCCTGTAGTGGATATGGTCGTCTTGATAGGTCAAGATGTATAAGCAATGCGGGGAGCCACCTTACCCCGAGGTAACAGAGGCGCAGATGACAGGTTGGACCGGGCGGGCCAAAAACAGAAGCTCGCAGATATTGGGCCTGCATATGCATCAGACGGGACGATATTTTCATCTGTTGTTGTTGTTGTTGTTGTTGTTGTCAAACCTGGTTGTTGGTGCTCTCTTTGCTGCCATCGTGGACAAACGGCATTTTTATACTAGCTGGTGTGTTTGGATCTTGTGTCGAACGGTTATCTCGATCTTTCTTTCAGGTGGCACTTGGCATTTCTGCCAAAGTCCGATCTCTGAAATCTTGATGGCCATGTTGGAGATCAGGTCGCAAAAAGGCTTAAATCCGATGTGGCCGTGTGAAAGCAGCTATGGACGCGTATGCAATGACATAGTCCAAGCCCGCTGTCTCCCTTGGCATTTGACAGTTCCGGGTATCTCGGAGTTCTGCAAAAAGGGAATCAAAAACTTACTTTGTGAAGGTTGAAAAAGATATTCTCAAGTGGTGGGTTGTGTATCGCGCGACTGAAAAATTGCCGGGGGTTTCCAAGAATATATCCAGCACCGACACCCGTTGACCGCCGCCTAATTTGTATATTCCGCTCTCAAGTGATCTATATTCCGCAGGCTGGTTGCGGTGGTGACCTTCGGGTGGCGCCGTAAACAACTCTCAGAGCTGCGCAGCACAGTGCGAGAGATTTGCAGAGGATTGCTCAGCAGGAAGCGGGGAGTTGAGCGGCGGGGCTGGTGCTCACTGTTGTCCGTACGCAGAACTGATCCGAGGTCAACACCGAGCAAGGCTGGTGGGCATCTTGATGGTTGTCTGCACAGATCGAAGGTTGTCACCCCGCAACCCGCAAAGCAGCTTCGTCCGACATGTTGCAAAATCAGATCGATATCAAAAGGCTAATTCCCAAACGAGATGGGCAGAAGCTGGCGACTCCACCAATTTAAAGCTGACGCTACTCTAGGGTGGATGGCACCTGCTCGCTTTTGGTCGAGGCTGAGGGGGGTGGCCAGGGGCAGAGGCCATCCCGGGGTCTGTTTGAGTGCGCTTCTGAAACCGACACAAGGGATCATTCGCAACGGCCGCTTGGGTTACGTAGTGTAGCCAAGGGACCTTAGCGTAGCTATCTTGCTTTCTTGGGAGTTGGGCACAGTGTTGAGCTATGCAGAAGAAAGTAGACATCGTGATAGAAGAGAGAAAAGCAGTGAGGTCGGCAACACTGTCGGGGCTGGGTGGGCTGGAATAAGGCTTGCGCATATCCGTCTGAGGGGGTTTGAGGAGGATGCCGTTCCAAGCTGCTGACAGACAGCCCCAGGCGCCTGCCTCACTGGCATGGCGGACCCCCCTGGAGAGAGCTGTCATGTTCGCACGGTGCAGTGAAGCGCTGGGGAGTTGTCCAAGGCTTGTCGTTTGCTGGGCGGGAGTTCTTGTCCGCTGTCTCCTGGCCACTCACCAAGCCGCTCGCTACACCCATCTGACAAAATACGGTGCACTGCCACTGGTTCCCATCATTCTCTCTCTCTTTTCAACCAACAAAAGACTTCCCGTTCGCCTGCTTTGTTCCTTCCTCTCCCTCCTTGCTTGCGAGTCCATCGATTCGCCTCCACTCTTGAATGCGGCAGAGGACTTATAGAAGGACCTCCGCAACATTCTCTACGGCCGACAGCTAGACACTCTGGTCTATCCTTTCACTCCTAATACCACTCATTCGTTTATGGGCAGGCGGCATACATAGGGAACGCAAATACGACTAATTGAATTATGCTTCTTACCAAGGCCTTCGCGGCCGCCCTCACAGCTGCAGGTCTACTGTTCCAAAATGCGATAGGTATGCTCGATTGCTACAAACCAAAAGGCGCCATTAGCTAACACAACACCCAAGCGCACTCTGTACAACGAAGATCGCTGTCCTATGTAACGCGCATTGAGGACATCGACATCCAAACACCATCTCATCGGGTGCACGCCCATACCTCTTTCGACGTCACATTCCACCTTCACAGCAAGCATCAAATTGTCCGTCTCTCATTGGACCCAAACACAGATCTCTTCAGTGATGACGCAGCGATCCAACATGTCGGTGCCGATGGTACAATCACCAAGGTCGAACCGCTCGACAGGCGAGCGATCCGTGTGTTCAAGGGAGAGAGTTGGGTCAAGGAGGACGGCTCGACCGAATGGAAGCATGTGGGCTGGGCTCGAATCAGCTTGATCCGCGATGGGAAAAATCCCATCTTCACGGGCGTATTCACCATTTCAGGAAACCACCATCACGTCAAGACTGCCAGTTCGTATCGTGCGCTCGCGATCGAGGGCGACCCCGAAGTCGACGAGGAGGATGACGACTACATGGTTGTTTGGCGTGACACTGATCTCAGCCCCGAGCCTGGCCATGTCGATCTCAAGCGTGATCTGGGCAGCATGGAAACCTGCGCCTCTGATGACCTTCTTTCCAACCAGGGTTCCAACAGCCTTGTGTATCGGGCCTTTAACCAGCCTCTGACAGAAGGCGCATCTATCAACCCTCGGGCTCTGTTTGGGCGGCAGGATCAGATCGGTGGAAACGGTGCTGGTGTCAACTTGGCCGGGTCGATTGGTTCGACGCAGGGATGTCCGACTACAAAAAGGGTTGCCTTGATCGGTATCGCCACCGACTGCGGTTACACTTCCAAGTTTAGGAACAAGGAGGAAGTGCGAGCCAACATCATCGATATCGTGAACTCGGCCTCGGAGTTGTACGAGAGAACATTCAACATCTCGCTGGGTATTCAGAACTTGACCATCAGCGATGCTCAGTGCCCAGGCACACCCCCCCAAACCGCGCCCTGGAACACGCCCTGCAGCGACAGCATTACTATTACTCAGCGTCTGAGCCAGTTCTCAGAGTGGCGCGGCCGATGGGAAGGGGATGGCAATGCTTACTGGACGCTGTTGACGAGCTGCGGGACTGATAATGCCGTTGGCCTGGCTTGGTTGGGGGCTGTCTGCCAGCGTGGAGCCACGCAACAGGGGAACGAGACCACGGCTGCTGCCAATGTCGTTGTACGGACATCCACCGAATGGCTTGTCTTTGCCCACGAGACTGGACACACCTTTGGAGCTGTTCATGACTGCGGACAGGGTTCATGTTCCCGCGGCGAAGACAAGCAGTCACAGTGCTGCCCACTGTCGAGCCAGTCTTGCGATGCACAGGCCAACTTTATCATGAACCCTTCGACAGGCAGCGGCATCACGCAGTTTTCACCCTGCAGTGTAGGCAACATCTGCAGCTTCCTCGGGCGTAGCTCCCAGCGAGCCAGCTGTCTCGTCAGCAACAGGAATCTCATCACCATCACTGGCCAGCAGTGTGGAAACGGCATTGTTGAAGCTGGCGAGGACTGCGACTGCGGCGGGGAGCAGTCCTGCGCGGGCAACCCATGCTGCGACCCCAAGACTTGCAAGTTCACCACGGGCAGCCAGTGTGATTTCTCCAACGATGAATGCTGTACTGGCCAATGTCGTTTCGCGGCCCAAGGGAGCGTCTGCCGTGCCAGCACCGGTCCTTGCGATCCTGAGGAGAGGTGTTCAGGGACAGCAGCTGCTTGCCCAGCTGATGAGAGCCGTCCAGACGGAGATAGCTGCGGTGAACCTGGCGCTGGCCTGCAGTGTGCTTCTGGCCGCTGCACATCTCGCGACCTTCAGTGCAAGACGATGATGGGCCGTTTGACCACAAACAACGATACCTACTCATGCTCGAGCAGCGGCTGCACCTTGTCTTGCCAGTCCCCCGAGTTTGGGCCCAACACTTGCTTTTCTATGCGACAGTACTTCCTCGACGGCACCCCCTGCGAAGGTGGTGGCAAGTGCTTCAACGGTAACTGCCAGGGTACACAGCTTGGCAAGCAGGTTCTCGACTGGATCAACGACAACAAGCCAATCTTCATCCCGGTGGTTATCGTTGTCGGTCTTCTCTTCCTCATGGCCGTCTGCAGCTGCCTGTTCAGCTGCTGCCGGAAGTCGAGCAGAAGCCACCGCAAGATTCCCAAGCCGGTACCGCCACCATACCCCTACGGCAACGGAATGCCCGCCATGCGTGGACCAGCACCGGGGCAGCAAGGGTATCACCAACCACAGCAGCAAGGGTGGGAGCCAATGCGCTCGACGCCGTATCGTTATGCCTAATGATAAATATCTCGTTGGTTTTTTTTTTGGCTTTTTTTGGTCGGAAACAGGAAAGGGGCATAGATCATTTTGGGAGGGAGGTTTTTTCTTGTTTGGATTTTGCCTGCTGGACACACACAACCGAACCCTTTTATTTTTTGCATGCATTAGGATGGCGTTTAATCTTTTCTTGTCTCTCCTTTTGTTTTCTGGATCCTGTCCTCAAAAGAGGTGGACAGGGCTTGTCGATATCTTACCCCTCTTCTCCCGGAGGATTGAGGAGGTCAAAATTATGAGGATATGATTTCTTATCTGGAGTATAAGCTGGTTGTATATGGTCTTGGCATCTTTGTATAGGAAGTACAGGACTAAGGGGTTGCACGATGTGTGTTGGCTTTTTGTACAAGATGTCCTGGGTGATCGCGATATTTGTATGTAGTGCAGAGAAAGAGAGAGAGAGAGACGTATCAAATGGGTGGCTGTTTTGTGTTTCTGCAGGAGGAAAGAATAGTTGGGGGTGGGTGGGAAATATGCAACAAGTTCAATCAATGACTCTGGAAACGCTCTTAGACCGTGCCGTGAATGATACATAGCACAAACTCGCTGGGTGATAGGACTGCTTTGACCATTCAATACTCAATTCATGCACCGATAAATATATACAACCCCCCCCCCCCCCATCTAAACAACCAACCCCTCCTCCAACGCCTCATCCCTCTCCAACCTCTCCAACCCATTACAAACAGCCCCATATACCCTCAACGGCACCGCCACCTCAAAGCTCTCACACGTCAAATTCTCCACCGCCACCATCACCAAACCCCCTCTATCATCCCTGCTAATCTCCTCGAGCAACGGATGTCCCTTACTCTTCACCACCTGCCCTCCATTCCCACCAGTATTCACCCCGCTCAACCCCAACCCCACCCCTTCCTCTCCTCTCCCTCTCAACCTATCCCCTTCCCCTTCCTCCTCCTCCTCCACCACCTCCTCCTCCTCTTCCACATCCCCCAACCCCCCCTTCTGCTGTTCTTGCTGCCGGTTGTTGTTATTGCTGCCAAGCTGCGGCTCCAAATCAACAGGCACCACAAACTCCAACCTAACCCTCCACCCCAGCCCAATCCCCGTCGTCTCAAACTCCGGCGTCGCACTCACCGGTATCGTCGGCTGAAACACCACCCTCCGTCCGTACATGGCCGCCTCGCTCTGGCTCACCCACACCTTTCTTGTCACTCTATAAACACTCGCCTCGCTCCTCAGCGCGAGCCCCGGATCGAGAATCTTCTCCGACGTCTCCAGCGCCGCGTGGACCGCGTAGCAGGGTATCTCCGCATTACTAAAATCAATCACCAGCGTCACAATCTCTCCCAACCGGTAGGCCGGTCGGGCAAGCATGACCACCCCCACGCGGCGGCCGTTGCGCGCAATCTCGAACCGGTTGGTCGACTGTTGGCCCGGGGAGGTGGTCAGGTTGGAGCGGAGGATGGCAAGGTCGATGGCTTCTTTCGCTGTCGGGGGTGGTAGCCCGCCGAAACCGGCGTCCGACATCGAGTACGTCGATGGACGCCGCGAGGTGGGCATCGCTGTTGGGGATAACAGCCCGGCAGTGGGGTTGTCGTGGGATTTGGTGAGCAGCTCGTCCACGTAGGACAAAAACGAGGCCATGGTTGATGCTGGACCTGTTGTGGGGGGTGAGGGTTTTGGTTTGGAGACCATCAGCTGAGAAGAGGATGACGACTCCATGCTGGCCGGTTGTACGACCGCCTGGTCTCGCAGGATGATATACGGAGACATGAGGTCGTGCCCCAGAATCTCGCCGTGGCTGTTCACACTCCCTAGGACGCGGAATGGGATGTCGACTGATTTGACTTGTTGCTCTTTCGCACCTCCAGGCCGTTGGGTGCCAATCACCAGGCTGTAGGAGATTTTCATGGCTTTCCCTCGGTGGGTTGGTGGCAATCCCTTGGGGAGCTTGAACGTGTACTCATAAGCCATGCTCTCCCCGGGTCCCAGCTGTAAATCAACAAACAGGATTGACTGTGGTGTTGACAAAAGGGGCACCGCCTTGGAGCCCGCGAGCCCTCGCATTTCCTTAATCGTGCTGAGCTCGCCGCCGCCTAGCAGTTCTCCAATCGAGCTGGTGATACTCCCCCATCCAAAGCTCCTCAGCAGACCGCTGTCCCGCTTGGTGTTCGTTTCCAACCCAATAACACCACCCCCGTGCCCACCAACTACCGCCTTCCGCTTCACCGCTTCAAACGGCGCGAGATTCACGAGCGATCCATCCAGCGTAAATGACCCTTGCACCTGCGCATACCCCATCATCAGAGATTCCGGCGGCCTCACCGCAGTAGGCACCAGATTTGACGTCCTCCTGCTATGGGGCGGGCGCGGCTGCGTCCTAAGCGGCTGATGTAGCACATACTCGGAGGCCAACGTCTCGGATGAGTTGTTACTCATCGAATAAAACTCGCCACTGCTTCTGGGTGTTCCCGCTATACTCGTAGTCGACAAAACCCTTGCCGGCAGCGTGGCTCCGTGCTCGTGAATCGTCGGAACCTGGTCTCGCTGACGTATAGGCAGATTGTTCAGGAACCCAGCCGTCGCTCCACTCGGGCTAAGCAAGTCATCCTCTGAGCGTCCCGGGCCCGGCGTTGGCGGCATCCCAGGTGTTATCGGCGTAGCCGGTGAAGCTGCCGCAGGGAACCTAAACTCTGCCAGCGGATTCGGCGGCTCTGACGTGGGCGAAATCTTCGAACCTCCGACCCTCGGTGTCCCAGGCGCAGTTGAGCCACCCGAGCGCCGCCCATTCATGCTTCGTTCGGGTGGGTATGACGCGTGAAATAAAGGCGAAGATTGCGAAGCTGTTAGTCTCGGCGTAGTTGCTACACATCCAATAATCAGTCCCCTACCCTTACCCTCTCCTCAAAATCACCAAAAAACTCACCAGACCGCGGCCCATTGAACAACCCACCCCTCGGCAGAATCTGGAGACTCGAAGCTCTAGTATGACCTCTCCCCGACCGCTTAGAGCTCGCAGAGCCAGCAACACTCTGCCCATCATCCCCACCACCCCCAATCGTGCTCACCGACGACCCAATCGAAACAATCGACACAGACCGCTTATGCCCATGCCCATTCCTCTGCGTCCCCGATCCAGACGGCGATGACACGCCTCCACCATTACCACCACCAACACCACCCCTCGCCGAAAGCGCAGGTGAGTTCGGCGTCGCGGGCGTCCACGGAGTCGGACTCTGAATCGAACCCGCCCTCGCTCGGGAAGCCGCAGACGGGACGGAAAGCGAGAGACTCGACCTGTGATGGCCCCTGCCCCCGGCAGCAGCAGCCGACGGCGGCGCGAGACTGCTGCTAGAACTGTGCTTCGACCTCCCACCCGATGATGATGATGCGCGGGGGTGTAAAGGGGAAGGTTGGCGCAGCCGCTCCCGCTGCGAAAAGGGCTTCAGACTACTCGGCGGTGTTGAGACATGGTTGTTGCTGCTGCCGTTGCAGTTGTTGCTGCCTGGTGGACGGGCGACGTTTTTGAACGTGATGGTGCACTTGACCTCCTCGCCAGCGAAGACGACCTGCTCGTGCCAGCGCACAAAGACTCGGATATTACTGCTGCTGCTGTTGTTGTTGCTACTGCTGTTGGGGCCGTCGGGCGACATTTCTTGTTCGTGTTTTACGGGGACGTTCGGGATATCGGAGGAGTTCGAGGGAGTGTACGGGCCGTCTTGTCTTGTCTATCAATTGTTCGTTCGGAAGTCGTCGGGGGTACCGTCTTGTCTTGCGTTGGAAGAGAGGGGAAGAGAGGCAGAGAGAGACACAGAGGCTACTATGTTTGCTGCTGACCAAGGAGAGGAGATTGTCTATTATGCTGGATCGTTAAAACCGCTCGATTCACCAGCATTGCTGATGGGCACCAGCATCTTGCGGCGCCAAGTGGGTGTCGAGGGTTCGAACGGTGGTTGTGTTCTCTTTCAATGGCCGAATCTGGGGACGAATAGCGCTGTGGACACGATCCGCGCGGCGCAAGATCCATGGTCGCCATGAGCTCACAAGCGAACCCCTGCCACCTGCTGGCACCCGGAACCTGCACTTTGAGACCCTAACCCTGGGCTCCATCTCCCCTTAAAAACACAGCCATCTTTGAACATCAACTCCATCTCCAAAATATCCACTCTCCTCACAGGTCTCCAAAAATTCAGGATACTGCCGTTCAGAAACTTGACAAAAGACCTACATTTAGGCCTCGAAGGGAGAAGAGGCATAAAAAAGAAATCAAATCCGGAGTGCGTGCCCCCTGAGTTAACAGGGGGGGCTCTCCATCATCTTTGAATTGACCCCGACCCGATTTGAACGGATAACCTTTCGATCTGGAGTCGAACGCGCTACCGTTGCGCCACGAGGCCTTCTTGATTTGTTGAAGAAAGAGCGCGGTTTTAAGGTATATGTTTGGAGCATACATCATAGGAATATCAGACTACAAATGAATAACTTCTTCGAGCCACCTACCGTGATCAAGACGGCATCATGAAATTATCCCAACAACAATCTCGAAAAGAAATATGAGATCTTGCTATAAAACATGGCAGCTAAATTCCACCGGGTATCGATGCTTACACTTCCCAAACAACGCCAGCCTTATGTATTCCGACACATGCACCATTTATATGCACATTTCTCCCGTCCTCCCTTAACATCAAGACACTGTGCTTCCCAAAGAAATCATCAAAACAAAAGAAATTCAGTTGACTCTGAATGCGAAGAGATCTCACAAAAGCAATGACCTGTGGTCCCATAGGTTTTCGCCAACTCCCCATCCCATGAATGAACAAACGAAGAAATAGGGCAGATGTTGCTTCTCTACCTAGTGGCCATCATTCGCGAATCCGTTTGCCAAAACGTCATTGGGCCTTTCCAACCCTCTCTTGGTGCTGCTGCATGTCTAGTTAGCTTCTTTCTCTGGTGGTAACAACGATGGCGGTTAAGAGACAACAAATTGGGATCACTTCGTCGCGCTTATGTAACTGGCTCCTGAAAAGCGATGGTTGAGATACTTTGGTAGGCCAACGAGGCCGCTGTTGACTGTTGCCAAAAGAAAAAAGTTGCTTACCGGTGAAAAGGGGAGCCCGGCTCGATGCAACGGAAGGAGGTCCTCTAGAGCTCCTTGATCTGGAGAGCCGAGGGACTAGAAAGGTTTCCTGGCCCTGCAGGTCCTGAACAGAACCTGAGCTTCGTCCGCTTCCCCTGCTTCCAATGCTGTTTCGCGGGTGGTGACGTCCTGAACCACCACTGGCTCGTCTATTACCAGTGGTGTCAAGCTTCAGGCTTGCCATGCCAAAGTCCCAGCCGTTGTCATACTGATGTACACAGTGCGGCTCCAAAATCTCGCAATGATCCGTTAAAATCTTGTACATTCTCGTCTGTAAGTCTTGGGCGTCAGGGCGGTCGGTAGGATGAGAGGAAAGCATGTGCTCAACAATATGAAGCATAGGGGCGATGCCTTTGAATATGTCGTCGTCCTTCTCCTTTTTCTGGGCTTCCTTGACCAGTAGGGTCATCCAGCTCTCGACCTGAGATAGGTTCCGATGAAACGACGAGTCAGGGACAGCACCGCCCCTGCTAGGGGTCTTGTGCTTTGCGGCCCGATGTGTTGCGAACGGTCTTCCGTGCTTCTTTACCAGGAAGCTGAGGAGGTCCAGAATTATGCAACCGAGGGAAAAGATGTCTGCCGCTTGGGGACTCAGGTGAGGCGTGGGTGCATGCATCATGGCCATCGGGTGCTGGCTGGAATCGGGGGTGGAACGGCTGGTGACATAGTTAGGGCTTTCAGGTGAAGCTGTCGTGGATGTCACGGTTCCTCGGCGGTGAAACGAAGTTGACGATGGTGAGCTCGGTTTAAACCACTGCTCCGGCGCCGCGTAGTCATATGACTCTTTGTCGAACGAGTTTCTGTCCAGTCCAGTGTAACCAAGCAAGTCTGAAAGGAAGATATGGTTCTCGCTGGTAAACAAGACTGTGGAAGGCTTGATGTTGCCGTGAGATAGGCCTCTGTTGTGAAGGAAACACACCGTGTCAATGAGACAGTGGATCCATTCCATGACCTGTCGCCGTCGTGCCTTTTTCTCCATGTTCTTGAAGCATGCTGGCGTTGTGGTGAGGAGGCCCTTGAGAGTGTAGTCGGCCGCATTGGTGAAGAGGGCATAGCCATAGCCTTGTTGAACATAGGACGCCCAGTAAGAAGCGAGATGGTCGTTCTGGACGTTGCGAATGCCGTTCACGTCGAACAGAAAGTCTTCCGGGCTCGAGTAGCCGCCGCCAATCGGCATCTTCACGCGACAGAACACGGTTCCTGGGTGGCCTGGAAGCATGACCTTGTCGAAGAAAGGGGTCTGGCCGGGGACGTGCTTCTTTTCGACCACCTCCAGCGGAACCACCTCGCTATCTTGGTAGATGACATGCTCGCCCTTGCGCAGAGGTCGAAGTAGATAGTAAAACTGCTTTTCGTAGAATTCCTGTTCCAGCCTGCTGTCTCTGGTAGGGGTCAGGGCGAGTCGCTCAACTTGGTCCCGAGCAATAGGCAGGTCCTCGTCGTCCCACGAGTCGTCAATCACGCCGAAGATCTGGTCAGGGACTTTGAGCTCGACAAGAATGAGGAAGATCCTCTTGGCCTTTTGCTCGATCCACTCCCAATAAGTCCCATCGGTCAAGCCATCGCCAAAGCCCAGGGTGCGGTCGAGTCGCTCGATTTCCTCAGGAATAAGATGGCTACACACAAACATGCGTGTGACTGTGCGTTCAATGGTGTCGTCGTCCCACCACATGGTGCTGTGACGTCGGTTAGGAGTCGTTGTCATGGCCCGGATATGGTGTTGCTGTGCTGTTGATGCTGCCGGTGGTAGTTGTGTGATGAAGAAGCACAATACAAAAGTAGTATTTACTGAAGAAACCGCTCCTTTCTGGGGACAGCTGTTCAAAGAAACCTAGAGGGGTACCCGAGTTCACCGCCGGATTGTTGAGAAAAAAAGTACAGATGGAAGGAGCAACTGGACGGAGGGGCGGCCGCAGGTAGTGTGAGGTGAGGCGTCTTTACATCTCCGGTTCGTCGACCCGGCTCACCACACACTATAATTACAGCAAGGCAATGCTCGGCATCATGAAATGTCTCAAGTTGTACTCCATATACATCATATATACTTAACGGCCACTACCCCCAAGTCTCTTCTTACTTGTGTGCTACGCAGGTGGGCATGTGTCCCCACAGTGATGCTGATATCAGGAAGGGAGTTTACTGGAGATGGTGGTTTGTTTCATTGGCTGACTGATGGCTAGAGATAAGGAATACAGGCCTCTGTTTGGCTGGCCCTCTTCTGGCATGGGTTCCATCGTCTGCACCTTGCTCAACGCGGGATGGGGGCGTGTATCTGCCAGGGTCCCTGCTGAGTACCGAAGATGAGGCACAGCCCTGATATAATTTCAGGACGATTCGGTTCTGACCTCTAGCCCTCCCGCCGAGCTCTCTCGTGCAACCCCTCCGACATTGTCATCGTCAGTTGACTTGGCGGGGTGGTTACGTGCCGGTCAGATGATGTGCCTATCTACGATTTGGATCGGTGATCGAGACACCGTTTGGGAAGTCGCGAGGCTGTTGTTGAGGAAAGAGCAGTCGGCTGAAGTCGGACAGGACACGGAAGGAAGAGCCCGGGGAGGAAGGGACGTGGGGGAGAACCCCACACTTTTCGCAGCCCCTCGTTGCCCGTCACTCCCATCACTCCGCCTTTTCCAGTGCAGCGGGACACCACGATATTGTATGTGTAGGTAGTATGTGAATATTCAGCATGAATTCGCCTACTAGCTCCCATGCATTCAATACTTGCTCTTCAGTTCAATTCGACACAGCGGTGTTCCTGACGCGAGTGTTGCACTTCATCACTCGGCCGGGTAAGACGAGCAACCAGATAGATCGACGCCGTCTATCAAGTGTCACCCACATGCCATCCAGAAGTCAAATGACAGCTATCTAGAATGTCTCGTGTCAAGCCACTTCTTGACCGTCGATCAAAGGCCATGCGAGACCCTTGATTCTGCCCAAGAGCAGGTGTCTTTAGACGATATCAGTCTTGGCAGCTCCTGCAGCCACCCACACCATCATTGGTACGACAGATGGCTGTAGATGTTGGCTGCATTGTTACACACAACAAGTTTCCGGGCACCAGCATCCATCGCCACACCGCCCGGTCGTCCTTGAGGCATTTCCTGTTGCCATGCTGGCGGATGATAAATTCACGAACACGACTTTTGATCCGATACTATCGCATCGTACCTCGGCCAGATTGTAATTCTTGTACTCGATCCAAGTACTTCACCCAGGCAATGCTTATCTCCCCACGCCAAACGCGTGGCGTGACTTTTAATACCGGCCTGCAGGACGTCTGCCCGCAAAACTAATCTTTTTGGGAGCGATACCATATTGGCGGGTCTGTCTGCTCAGCGTGGCTGTCCCAGAACACGACCCTGTGGCGTTTGCCCTTTCTTTTCATATGATACTGAGACAAAATCTTGGAGGGAAAAAGAACAAGAATTCGACTGGTGAGCTGCCGACTTACACCGTCCCTCGGAGAAACCCACAAAACGAAAAGCAACATGCTAGATTCGCATTTGCCGTCAGACAGACTCAAGAATCGAGAGCAAGACCGAATCGCGGGGGCCTGGCCCAGAAATCAAAGGATTTACCCCTCCCCCTCTCTCTCGAGCTCGAGACCCTTGGAATCGATCTTTTGCCCAAAGCAGGAATAAAGTTATCACTATCGCTGGGGAATGATGCGCAGCAAGGATTATCTACTCCTCCCCCACAACCCCTGAAATGGAGCAACCCCCACTTCTCTTGCTCAAGTCAACCCAGGCCCAGGTTCAGGGGTGACAACCAACACCAGGTTTCCCATCTCCAGTCACCACTTTAGCATCATGCGTTTCTTGATCTTGTTCCCACCTGGTGATGCCCCGGCCCGGCCCACCGGCTAGTATTGGGTTAACGATATTCCTTAGATCTTGGTCTCGAAGCACATTATGACACTTTACCACTAGCCCGAGTACTTTAATTCGCATCATTGGAGAGCTCAGGTATCAGCTAACAAAGTCTAGTTTAACGCAAAAACCATTATTACATTATCTCGTTGATCATGCATCAGAGTCAACCAATATCTATGCACAGCTGGGTATCGAGTTCGTTCCTCTTCCAAAAAATGCACAAAAACCAAATGTCCAAAACGCCAATGCTCAAACGACATGATCCAGTTTCCTCTCCATCTTGTTTCTCAACCATTAGACTGCCCTCTGGGCAGCATCCATGTCCGTCCTGGGCACGCTGCTAGGCGCCTCCTTCTCTCCGTGCCCGAGCTCAGAATCATCCCCCGTCTCGCTCTCCGCCACTTCCGGCCCAGCACCAAAGGTCGGGGCATAAGCGCTCTTCGCCCTGATCCGATCACCATACATGTAAAAGATGACCGGAATAGGCACGAGCGCCACACCGATGCAACCAAGAAGCGTGCTGGCCCACTGGGTGCCCATCCCTTCAAACATGTATCTCGCGAACAGCGGGAAGGCCGCTCCGGCCAACGACCGCAAGAAGGTGTTGCCCGCGATCGCCGAAGCGGCAAACATCAGATACGAATCGACGAGGTAGTTCAACGCCTGCAAGAAGATGCTGGCTATCCCGAATCCCGTCATCAAACCAGAAAGTGTCGGCCAAATCCAGTGAATATCCTTGGTGAAACCCGTCCACCCGAACCAAAACAACCCAATCGCAAAAGCCACACCTCCAGCAATGACAGAGGGCAACCTCCACTCAGGAACCGGCACCCCATTGTTGGCAGCCAGCTTCCTCGCATACCAAGGCTGCTGCATCAACACGGTAACACCGGCGATGATCTGCCCGATAATCATGCCGAAAAACGTCAGCCCGGCCACACCGGCAGACATGCCGTGGACCCCCATGAAGACAAACGGATACGCCGTCAAAAAGAGATAGAGCAGCCCGTAAATAAACGCCATGTACACCGACAACAGCGTGACGATCGGCTCGCAGAAGAGAAGCCTCATCGGCCGGGAAAAGTTTTTTGTGATCAACTCCTTGACGTCGATTTCAATCTCTTCCTGCTTGGCGTGGATGCCCCAGTTGAGGGTCCTCCTCCTCAGCTCGGCGGCTTTGCTGACCAGAATAACGGGGGGATAGGTCTCCTCGAGGAAGATCAGATCGATAATAAAAGCGACAGCACCCATGATCGCAATGAGATAGGCCGTCCACCTCCACCCGATGCTCTCATCCTCAACCATGAACCCGCCGATAAACGGCGCCAGCATGGGACCGGTAAAGACAGTCATGCTGAACACGGTGATGGCCATGCCACGCGTGCGGTTGTCAAACATGTCTGAGAAGACAGCTGCAACGACAGCAAGGGGGCAAGCACCAAAAAAACCGGCAAAGAACCTCGTGATGAGGACGGTCTGGAGGTCTTTGGCGGTTCCGCAGGCGAGGTTGAAGATGGTGAAGCCGAACATGGAGGCTACCAGGGGTAAGCGACGGCCTTTGAGCTCGGATAGGGGAGCCCAGAAGGTTGGGCCGGTGGCGAAGCCGAGGACGTAGAGGGATACGCCGAGGAGGGAGACGTCAGGGGATACGCCAAAGTCGGCTGCGACGGCGCGGGTGGCGGCGGAGAAGATGGAGGAGCCGAAGGAGGCGATCATTGTTGTGTAGCCTAGCATTGTTGCTGTGAGAAGTCTAGGGAGGGTGGTTAGCAGTGATGAAGGGATAAGTGGGGGAGAACGTACTTCTTGCCATGGGCCAGTTTTGAGCGTGGAGGGGGTCATCAGGGCCGTCGAACTCGACGACGAAGTCCTCTTGATTGGGTAGGAGGGGTGGGTATGGCTTTCCGGCGCCGAAGGGGGGAAGGGGCTTGACGAGGGAGGCACGGCTTCGTCTGGAGCGGATGGAACGGCCGACGGTTGCGCTGTGCTGGCTGCGGGCGGTCTGGATGCGGCCGAGCTCGGTTGGGGGGAGGTCTCGGGAGGTGGAGACTCGGGACATGCCCACGCCGACTATGCCGGTGCCGACGGTGGAGGGTCTGCGGGACCGGGCCGAGTGAGAGGAGGAGGCGGAGGATACCGAGCTGGCGGAGATGACGCGCTCAATCTCGGCGCTTGTTCGGTGGGGGAGCTCATGGTGGGTTGGGGTTGGGGAGATTGGGGTGGCGGCGTCGTGTTCTGCCGCCTCGAGGGCGCGGTCGACGGCGTTGGGTCCCATCGACACTATCGACACTGAGAAGAAGCTGCTTGATCTGGTGTTGAGGGTTGGTGGTGATATCAGGCGAGTGAACTGTGAGAAGAGCCAAAAAGACTAATACCAAAACGAACAACTTGAAACAGAAGTGTTCGTCAAATCGTGGTGTAAGTGATTGATTAAGATTTTGCCATCAGATCTTTCCAAGAGGGGGGAACCCAGATCTTATAACAATGACGAGGACATCTGGGGGACCACCATCCAGTCCCCCCCTGGATCTCTGTTGTTCTTCAGCTACCCGATTAAGTAATCCCTATCCGGATTTTCTTACCAAGGCAAATAGAAGGGTCACAGTCACAGCATACTACGGGGGAAACTCTCAGACCCAACGGGAGATCGATATAGCAAAGAAAAATGGAGCTTCTTTTGCCCAATTGTCACACCAATTCCTCGGTGAAAGTGCGTCTAGTCCACCCACACCCTGGTTTGCTGGTGCCGTTCCCGAGGCCGGGTTGCTTTTCGAACGGCGCCACGCACGGAGGCGCAACAAAAAAAACCAGATGACAAGGTTGATCGATGCGCCTCGGCACTTCGCGTTCTTGGGAAGCCCACCTTGGCTTACTCACCACCGTACATATGTACAAATGCTGTAGCATTCCGGCTTGATAACCGCATCGAACTGCATGTCAACTACAGAACTCTCTAGCAGCACTCCTGTGACTCGAACGAGACATTTTTCTTGTAGAACTGCCGTTGATTGATATCAACGTAGGTTGCTGAATCATGAAGCAAAAAGGAAGATGCACATTGTTGGTAGCGGGGACACCGACCCTTTGCCCATTTCCAATCTGGTGCCCATTGAGAAGCTAAACAAGGACCATCCCTTTTCATTCCAGGCGATGCAGGCAAGATGGAGTCACGGAGCTCGAACCGGTGATCCCCGCTGGGCCCATTATCAAACTTCCATTCCCCACCATGACAGCGTCCTTGGTGGGGTCCTGAAAGTTTTTAACATCAGATCAGAAGAGCCCAGAATCCCTCCGTTTTGTTCTCTCATTAGATCCCCTACACCGACACAAGCAAGATTTTGTGTTCAGCTCTGATCGCAATGAATTAATCCCGACCACCGAACGACGGGATGTTGACGATGATGAATGCTTTCGCATCCGCATCCGGTGTCATGATAGCAGCTGGAGCGGATATAAAACGGGAATCTGCTCCTCTTAAAAACGAACCTCGGGAGGCGAGACGTAGCTCTAAACTCCGGACATTTGGTTTGTGGCTGCGGGATTACGTCAATGCCGTCTGGTCTCAGCGGCCCCCCCCCCCCCCATGCAATTCGCCAATCACAATCAACACCACCACACCGGGCTAACGTTTTTTTTTCCGTCCACGCTTCCCACGATACAACAGCTTCATTTGAATTGCCATGTGGATACGAGACATGGGGGAGCACAGGTGAAAACTTTTTTTTTCCATTGACGAATGATTTCCCCTTTCCCACAATTTGACGATAGTTGATACGAACCGACTCATGGGCTGTCCCGCCTCCCATGTTTTCTTGCTGCCCAACAAGGCTGTTCAGACCATCTAATCCCGCCAATTGCCGATTCTAGCCGCCAGTAGCCTTGCAGTTCGAGGTGAGTTCACGATGTTGCGGACTCTTCCGCGCAATCAGGAACCCTGCCCTTCGGGCCGTGAGGGGATCCATCTCGGATGGACGTCAAGCTTTTTTCTGCTGCTCACTTCCCACTGGAGTGGCTTGCATGGGTGCGTCACGATGGTTCTAGATGGCGCCAGCCGTTCGGTTTGTCTCCACTGTGAGGCTGTATCTCACCTCACCTCACCTCAAATCACCTCACACCCCAATTGTCATCCTCCAACAGCGAGGCAGCGTCTTCGAGAGACAAGCCGGCTGTCTCTGGGTAGAATCTCCAGATCAACACGTACCCTCCAATGCAGATCAAGGCGTATAGAGTAAACGTCAGCGGCGGGCCCAACAAGTCCATCAACATCAAGAAGGTCAGGCCAATGACAAAGTTGGCGCCCCAGTTTGTGGCCGTTGCTATGCCGCTTCCCAGCGACCGCACGTTGAGGGCAAACAACTCGCTCTGCATCCATGGGACGTTTCCGAGGCCAATCGCATAGCCTGCCACATAGATCATGATGCTGATCAGGATGACGACTGGAGATCCGGGCGCATCGCTATCTGTGACTCCGCTCAGAAAGAAGCCAAAGGCAGCAAGGAGTAGCCCAAACACCATCCATGGAATAGACCAGAGAAGGATGCGTCTTCTTCCAATGCGGTCGATGATGAGAAGAGCCACCAAGGTAAACGCGAAGTTGGTGACTGCCACGACAAGGGAGGTAAGAGTCGGGATCGGGAAGCCGAGCATCTCGAAGATGGTCGCCGAGAAGTACATGAGCGAGTTCTGAGACGCCGTGTTAGCATTGAACATGCGCCATTGCTCATGATCGGAAAACTTACAAAACCACACAATTGCTGTAAGCCCTGCAATAAGCAAGCGATCGCCAACGCCCTCTTATTTCTCCTGATGTTGAACAGCTCGTCGAAACCTTCGGCCCAGCCGGCCTTGCTATCACCTCTCCTTCTTCGCAGCCGTCTTGCATCTTGTTCTTCCCTAACTTCGATCTCAATGCTTTTGACCGTAGCATCGACCTCGCGAACAGCAACCTTTCCGCCAGCAACTTTCTCAACGACACCCCTAGCTTCCAATCCCCTCCCCACCATGACCAACCATCTCGGTGTTTCGGGCATAACCGTCATCATGAAAAGCTGCACCACTGCTGGCAATCCTCCCAAGCCAACCATCCATCTCCACGCGGTCTCTGGGTGCCCATATTCCCCAAATCCATATCCAACAATGTACGCAACGACCTGGCCCAATGTAATGAAGATGACGTTCATGGTCACCAACCTCCCTCTGTGTTCCGCCGGGGCCAGCTCAGCAATGTATAGCGGCACGACGAAGCTTGCTGCTCCCACCGCCATACCAACGATACTCCTCCCAACCACCATCACCCAGACTGTTGAGCATGCTGCTTGCACCCCGGCTCCCAGAACAAACAGCACATCTGCCACGAGTATTACTCTTTTCCTTCCGAGACTATCGGCAAGAACCGACGAGAACGGCGAGATCAAAAGCGCGAAGAGGGAGGTGGAAGCGGTGATGAGTGACTTGTCGAGGGAGTTAAGCGGTCGGTTGGAGAGGGACTCGCCGAGGGAGACGAGAGTAGATGATATGACGCCTGTGTCGTCTTTGGGATTGGATGTCAACACCACGCATTTCGTGAGTGAGATCAGGATGAGAAAGCACACATACAACCAAACAGCAACCCTGATATCCCCGCCGACAAGGTCAACAGCCAGATAAACCAACTCGGCGCCGCGAGGATCGCTTTCCCGGATTCGAGACGGCCGGCTTCATCGCCTTGTTGTTCATCATGATCCCCACCAGCATCTACCCGCTCCGAGGCCGAAATAAGAGGTTCCTGCGCGCTGCTCATCACTGCGGTTGTTGTTGTTGTTGTTGTTGTTGTTGTTTTAGATCTCTTATCGGCAAATGCATATCGCGATCTTATCGAGTACTATCCAGAAGTGTATGGAGTAGCAGCACGGGGTTGACAATGAGAACCCTGATGGTCACAGACGGTCGGTTTGATGTCCAGATGTTGGCAGCCGGCGGCGGCGCACCGAGGGAACAAGTGACAAGTGCCAAGCACACAGTGGGAATTTGATGCAGGGGTGGGAAGGTGCACTGGGCCAGAATTCCATCCCAAGTTGGGAAGCGCGCAAAGTCCAAGAATGGAATTGAAACAAGCTAGGGGTAGCACGCACGGTCCATCAACGTTTCAACGTCGCAACGGTCGTTGAGCTGTGCGCTTTGCTACTGCTGCCACCGCCGCCAACAAGTCGTGACACCAAAAAAAAGTCACACCAGGGAGAGCTTTCTAACTTGCACTCTATTTCTCATCCCATCTTTCTTCTTCTTCTTCTTCCAGTCTCTGTACTATACCTTTTCTTCAGTATTCTTTTCTGGCAGAAGAATCCAAGACATTCCTACCTATCCGAAAGTTTAATTTCCTAGCCATCAGCAACGCGCATAGCTTCAAGCTCTCAACCCCTATTAAACATAATCACCACCACACAGACAACATGGCGCCCTCCCCCTACGCCGGCCACCCCTCCCGAGGGGACAGCTGGTTCGCCCCCCTCTCCATCGACCTGATCGTCAAAGTCTTCAAAACCACCTTCTTCCACCCCTTCATCGCCTGGATCATCCCCCTTTGCTTCCGCGCACAAAACATGCACTGGGACGCGCCCCCCATGCTCGTCTCCTTCGCCTGGGCCGGCGCCATCACCCTGATCTGGATGGCTGGCGTGATTAACGACCGTCTCGCCTTTGGCCTCCCTCGTGAGGTGGACCTCAGCGAGGAGGTCATTGTCATCACTGGTGGCGCTTCCGGGCTCGGGTTGCTGATTGCTGAGGTCTATGGTATGCGCGGCGCGACGGTTGCCGTGCTGGACGTGGAGGAGATGGAGAATGGGGAGGCAAGGGGGGTGACGTATTACAAGTGTGATGTTGGCGACAAGGAGCAGATCGCAAAGGTTGCCGAGAAGATTGAGCGCGAGGTTGGTTGCCCTTTTTTCCTCCTCTATTTCACCCCCTTTATATCACTAACATTCTGTCTGTCTGTTCAGCTCGGCCCCCCTACAATCCTGATCAACAACGCAGCCGTGGTCCTCGGCAAACCCCTCTTGTCCCTCTCTCTCCCCGAAATCGACCGTTCCCTCACCACCAACCTCCTCTCCCACTTTTACACTATCAAGACCTTCCTCCCGGGCATGACGCGCTCCGAGACCGGCGGAACGATTGTGACAATCTCGTCCGTCATTGGCACCCTCGGCGCCGCGCAGCTGACGGATTACGCCGCCGCCAAAGCTGGCGTCACCGCTCTTCACAAGTCTCTCTCGGCGGAACTGAAGGAATCACACCCCGAGATTAGAACGGTGCTTGTCACCCCGGGGCAGCTCTCCACGCCTTTGTTTGCTGGGGTGAAGACACCCAACGCGTTCTTGGCCCCGGTGGTGGAGCCGGTTGATGTGGCGAAGGAGGTGATCAAGGCGATTGACAACGGGCAGAATGCGAGCATTGGGATGCCGCTTTATGCGAGGTGGGTTGATTGGTATAATGTGCTGCCTGTGGGTGTGCAGAAAGTAGTAAGGGGGTTGGCCGGGGTGGATAGGGGGATGAGGACTTTTCAGGGAAGGGCAGGGTCGGGGTTGGGGAGGAAGGGGAAGCTTGAGGCTTTTTAAAAGTCGGCGACTGGATCGCGAGGTGTTGGGGGTTGTTTTTTGTAAAATTAGGGGAATGTACATACCGCGTATCAGCGGGCGGAGGGTTTTGCATCATTAGCAAGCGAAAAGAACATCATCATATTTGTTCTTCACTACATAGCCTTTTCCTTCCGCTCGTTCTCGCCAGCAGGGTGGTCCAAAGCCCACTGCACCCCGGATAAATCACTATAAGGAGGGAGCTTGGCCTTTCCATCCCCCTTTTTGTACTTCAGCCCTTCCAGGTCGACATCGTTGAACGTCCTCACGCTGATCCCATACCCCTTCTGCCGAAACTCGCGAAAGTCGATGCCCAGGCTGGAGCCGCAGTTACCGCAGAAGAGGTGGTCGATTTGTTTGGTGTTGAACTGGTAGCGGGAGAGGCGGGGGAGGCTGTCTTCGGAAAACACGACTGCTTCTTTGGGGGGGACTGTTGATATCAGCAGACTATGACGGGGGAAAGGGGTGGGATGAGGGGAGTGAGACGTACAAACAAGCAGATACCCAACCCGTCGACAAATCGAGCAGTTACATTCCATCACTGTCTGCTCTGCCAGCGGGGGGGAGAGGGTCACGGTAAAGGTTATCGAGCCGCAGTGGCAGGAGCAGGGGTAGGTTTGCTCGTTTTTGGTTGTTTCACCACTGGGGGTGGTGGTGGCAGGCTCCGAGGTTGGCGAGGTCGAAGTTGCCATGCTGAAATTATCAAGAAACTTGTATAAAGGGAAGAAGGATGGGGCAATCATACCAGCAGTTTACTTAACCCTCGCTTATACATCAAAGTTGTTTATATAGAACAGAGCTCGGTCTTCGGATAATCATGCATACTATGAACATGTGCGAGGACGGACCAAAGTTCCCGGCTTGCTTAGATATCATCGTGCTACGATGCAGACAGCCAAATAAGCTCTGGGAAGGATTGTGCCGGCTTATCTCCTTCGAGATACCACCTACCACACTCGTCATATTGGGTCACTCTACTAACTCAACACATACCAGGAGGGCACCTCACACTCATACAGAAGAGAACGCAGTGATGTCAAGTTTCTATTGTTAGATGCCTGCTAGATGCCACACTACTCCAAGATAGCATACTATGTAAACCACGACAAAAAGAAAATCGTCGCTCGACCTGTATCGTTATAAAAGCTTTCAATGTTGACTAGCCAAAACCACGCTCTAAACCAAATCATTCCCATCGCTCCGCTATTCAAATATCATCGCATGTATGTTTGGCCCCAACCTTTTCTCCCAAAAAGCATGCATTTATTTTTGGTAAGTTTAGTTCGCGCCCCCATTCCAACGCACCGTTGCCGATGTGTACTGGCAGCGTCACCGTCTTTTTATTTTTCCCCGCCCATGCTGGAATATCTCTCTGGCTTTATTCTTTACGACAGGACTCAAAGAGCCCCAAACTGCCCACTGTTTTGGGCCGGGTGATTTCAACCCCAAAGCTCCCTACTGCTCATCCATGTCGGGGATGATGAGAGGCATGTCTCCGATACTGGGCTTGCTTCTTGGCTCGATACTTTTCTGGTTGTCGGCACGGCATGTAGGCGGGTTGTGCTCCAGCAATAATCGAACTGGTCGTGTACAGGTCCTTGTAAGGTTTGATCATGCGCATACAGGGACTGGTAGATGACCAATGCCTTCTAGTGCTGGGCATCAATTCGGTGTATCGGTGACTGGTCGTTTCTCCGGCCTCCTCAGTTCATGTTGATACCGGTCCGCTTCTCGTCGATTCTCGGGAATTCCGCTTCTTGTACGTCCCGGGGAACACGTAATACTAACAGGTCGGAGGTTGCCATTCGAAAACTCCCGCTAGGGGTTCCGCGCTCAGGAATCCAATCCTATAGGCATCGTTGCAAATGTTGATCGAACCAGACGGCCCCCCAAACCTCACACAGAGCAGCCTATTCGCCCAAGCGCCCCAGTCGAATAAGATCTGGGGCGGCGCCATCTCTCATTGGGAAAGAAAGCGGCATGTCGTTGCGTATTCGTAGGTCCGAAAGCCCCTTCTACCGGAAGTTAATGATAGCAAGTCGGTTATCCAAACCATGAACCAGTCTCTTGCCCTCGCAGTCCCACTCCAAGAATGGCAAGGAATCACCCGAGTCGGATCCCGTCTTGGGGGTCTGCCACCCAGTATTCGGCATCCAGCCGGCTTTAGGGACTTGATGTTCACCAAGCTTCCAGATCAAGATTCTGTCATGTGTTGCTACAGCGATGTGCGATCCGTCGGGGCTAATGGCGAGGCTATTTGCTGCAAGGGGTGAATCCAAGGTGATCGAGTACTTCGGCCTATTCTCCAGGCCTCCAAGTACGTTCCAGACAAAGATGCCGCCATCGATGCCACAGGACACCAACAGCCTCTCGCCCTCCGCAGGGTCCGCTTGCAGCGGTTGCCACTGCATAGCGGTGATAGCGCCGTCATGGGCTTTTATCGAACGCCGCCTACTGGACTCATCCCAAATCTGCAAGTCATAGATCAGTACATGAAAACTTTGAGATGCTGAAGAACAAACTTACATCAATGAAACCCGCTTCGCTGCCAGTGGCAACAAGGCTAGAGCGCCAGTCGAACTTGACATACTGGAATCGCTCGTCCTTGCGTGTTTCAAACTCTCTGATCTGAACAACCTCCTTTTCAGTGCATCGGAAGGCAGTCAACATGCCTTGACCGCAGAGAATAAAAGAGCTCTCGCCGATCCATGTGGCATCGACGGGGTAGCTGTGAATGTCGTAGTTGAGGATGTGAGACATCGGATTCACCGTGGTCGGAGACGAAACCTGGATCAGAGTCCGGGGGTTCTCCAGTCCATTGGTCATATCCGGTGAGATGGCCAAAAGGAACTTGTCATTGGGACTCCAGCAGAGGTTGGTGATGGGGGAGTCGAGGCCTTCGAAACGGTAGGCACTGGTACCATCGGCAGCCCACACACCAAGACGGGACTTGTTTCCTATCTCAATCCCGAGGGCGATAAGAGCACCATTGGAGCTCCATGCCATGGAGGTGACGGTTGAATCATTGGGGAGGTCATCACCAAGATGGAGGTACCGAGGGGCCGTGTCCACGTGATCTGGCAGGGCGGCGTCTGGGGCGGCTCCACGCGGAAGCGTCCAAATGCGGGCTAGCGCATCGGTCCCGCCAGTCGCCAAGATTGATGGGTCTTTGGGGTTCCACTTGCTGATGAGCACGATAGGGTTTTCGCTAGCTTCTGTGGAATCATCGGCGCCGAGTCGCAGAAACACCGTGTCTTGGGTGAGGTCCCGTGTGTCGTCAACCTGTGTGCCCCGCGAGGGCCCCTCGGTGTGAGGGATTGGTGATGCGGCCTGTTCGCCCTCCAGGGGCGATGGGTAGGCGTGGTTGTTTTCTGCGCCGTTGTGGTGGTGGTGGTGGTGGTGGTCAATTTCCATGGGGGTTGTGGCAGAATCCGCCCCGTTGTCGTAGCCGTTGCTCAGTCTCTGCCGCTTAGCGGGCGACCCATGCGACACGGCGAGATGCCGGTCGACCGCGCGCTTTCTTGGGTTCTCGATGTCTTCATCGTACTCTGCATCCTCGGATTCTTCTGCCTCCTCCTCCACCTCATCCTCCTCCACCTCCATCACGTCGGGCTGGAACTTGAGCGGTCCAAACACCCCACGCGGTGTCGCCTCGGCCGTTGCCGGCACATCACGAGGCGCCTGCAAGAAAATTGTCAGTTACCCCGGCACTACCGCCCCCTGGAACCTGCACCACCCGCCAATTCCATGCAGACCGGAATGGGGGGCGCCAGCCCACAGGTCGAGTTAATTTCACAACAACAATGAAATCGGGCCACCGTACCTTTTGCTCAGCAAACTGTCTTTCATACGCTTCAAACTGAAGGCCTTTGTTGAGAAGGTTCACCAATGCATACGTCTTGACGTGCGGAGCATAGTCAAAATGCCTGTGAGGCGTTTGGATCCGCCACTCCTTTTGCAGCTTGGCGGCAGTTTCCCGATAATCTGTCTGAGGTCAGTTTGTCTGCTTGCGTCTTGCTGCTTGCCTCGCAACTTTGTTGGTTGCTCAACGCGTGAAACACGAGAGCTGGCGGGGTGAGCTGAGCTGTTCCCAGTGAGCAGTCCACATACTTGACTCCAATAAGTACCTAATTGTCAAAAGTCAGCGACTGCAGCGCCCTCTCACCAGGCAGTCCGGAGGTTGTCGGGCTGAAGGGATGGGGTGGGCACAGAAACAACGAACCTCCAGATGAGATAGTTGACACGGTTAGTGTCGAGTAATTCCTTCATTGTCGGAGCACCGGGGGCGAAAAGGCGGCCAAAGTTGCGGGATTTCCAAACTCAGTTTCCAGCGCAGGTGGTGAGGGTATTTCTGTCCAATTTGGTCCGTCGGCGAGCTGGTGACAGGGCGATTAGGGATCTGGCACTTGTTGGTGATGGAGAATGAAAAGGGACCTCGAAAGCGCAAGGTTGAGATTTGGAGGTTGCAAGCGTTCGGGCCAGCGATGGCCCCAGCGACCCAGAATCCCAGTGCAGGTTTGCCCAATGAGGTGTGGGTTCCCACCGGCCAAGTGGTCCCTGCCGCTTGTTATTAGGCGAGCGACTAAAACCGCACCCCGGACGCTAAGCCAAATGGGAACAGCAACTTACCTCACCACGCTCAAACTTCACCACGCCAGGCCAATTGCATTTCCCATCCGTCAAATGGATTGATGCCCTGCCTGAGGGGACGGGGGAAGTCTTGAAGAACAATTGAATGAGCCACAGACAAACCCCCGATAACATCATCCTGTCTTCAAATGGCTGACCTCCCTGATCTGACGAACTCACAGACACCCGTGACATGCTGTCACCAACCGTGACGCTCAGACTGGCGGTAGTTTGGTTTTAAGTTTGGATTCCGCACCTCCAGCTTGTTTGTGACAGGAGGTACAGTGCAGTGTTGTAGCTACAAAGTGGGTTTCTCCAGATGGTAGCAAGCTTCTGCAAGTCTGACCTTTTGCTGCACGCCATCGCCCTGCTGAGCGAGTGAGACCGCTCTTTTTTCTGCCCTTGCCCCGCGTAGGGCCTATCCAGGTCTCCCACGATAACATCACAGGTTGCTGATGGCAAGCAATTAACTGTGTGCCACCCGCTGGCCTGCGAGTCTCACGCACAAAGAAGCTATCTGGAGGTGCTCTGGGGCCAAAATGATACACACGGTAAATAATGTCGCAGGGCTTTCCTGGCCTCGCGCAAGCGTGCGACCGAAACCCGTTCTTCGGATTGAACCCACACCAATACCAACATTACCGTGGCTGGCTAGGTTTACGCCGGCTGCGGAATACAGTTTTACGGAACGGTACATGACATCCTGTCCCTGCTGGAACTAACACAAAGCCAACCTCAGCTCAGCTTGTCCTGTCCAGCACGGCCATGGCCGGGTTCCGTATTCCATCTCACCCTGTGTGCGGTTGCGTCAAATCGACACTCGACCTGGCCAGATCTGATGCCATCTCGCCTGTGCATAATTTGGAGAGAATGGAAGGGAAAGGTGAGCGGGAAGGGAGGTACTGCAATTAATCGAAACGTGGTGCTTTGCCGAGACCAATCAATCCATAGCTTATCACCCACCACCAGTGTGCCAGTCCATGGCCTGCCGGCGCCATTTGACACATACCGTCATCATCGTGGCCGAACTTCGAGCATGGCCCCCGCCTCTTCGCTACTAAACGGAGGCCTGGTGCCGCCCTTGTTCGATGCACAAGCTCCCAATTAGGCTCTGCAGGCCGTTGTGTCGCGCTTCTTTGTGCGGCACAAGAATGATGTGGCCGACCGTGAAATACAGCCCCTGGCGCCGTGGTGCTGTACGTTGTGGACAGCAACCGAACACCGGTCATGTTCCAAGGACCCGATGCAGATCGGCGGCGCGGGCAGTTGAGCGGTGCTGCTGCAGGCAATCAATCAATCAAAGCCCATCAGAACGTATCCTGCCTGTGTTTCCTTCTCCGGAGCATCGTGGCACCTAGTGTACCGTTATTCATCCAACAGTAGCTGAGGGCGCGGGGAGGGGAGGGGAGGAGACTGCTGCAAAGAACAATCAACAGGCCTTCCGGAATTTTGACCAACCAAATTCGGCCAGAGCCAGTGTGTCGTGGTGTTCTGGGCAGAGCCAGGGTTCATGATCCGGGGTTTTCGATCTTGCGGTGCGGGGAATGCTGATTGGACACCATTGTTGCATCGTGACATGGGTTTTGTATGGTGCTGGCTGCTTCTGGGAGGTACTGCTACTGATGCTCCCACCACCGCTTTGTATCCGAGACAGGTATCTCGACATGCAGCGAGCCTGAGGAGGCGGGCTCGAATTTCAAAATGAAACCTTGTGAAAAGAAGATCGAGTTGTCGTCCGCCGCCCAGTGGCAGCAACGAGAGCTCAACAAGAAGCACCCGCAGGCACCAGTGCCACTGGACTGCAACCAGCTTCAACGGGGCCGAAAGGAGGCTCCCTAGTGACCCCCCCATCACACACCCCGCCTTATCCGTCCTGTGAGGTTTTGTAAATAAGATCAACTCGAGATGACTGCGTTGCTTACCGCAGTACGGCCCAACAAACCTTACAATACAGTAGGATAAGAGGATGACAGAGTGGCACAAGTTACGAAAGCAGTGTCCAAATATTGAATGCAACGGACGCCTTCGACCGAGGTGGCGTACGATCTGCGGAGCGGGGCATTGATGTGTGTGCATGTGTGTGGTGTCGCAAGCCCTGCAGATGCCACCAAACAATGTCCGATTTCTTACCATGATGAGATAAATTCCCGTCGAAAATGAGCTGTCCTCGGAGATGTGAGGAAAAACGAAAATGAAATTGAAAATGACAAGAAAACCACCCATGTTGGGCTTGACCTTCGACCTTCCAGATTCCTCACTCTGACCTCTGGCTTGACCGCTCGTGCTCGTGCCGCCCGAGATGAGATGGCGTGGACGACTGAAGTTGGATGGCTCGTGCGCAATCTCAGATGTCGTCCCCACTCCTTCTTTGTGCAGGGGCCTGCATGAAACAACCTGGGTCCTCGGGTTGTGTTCGGGCGGGCGAACCCTGCCAGCCTGCCAACCCTGAGGAGCGGCAGCCTGGGCGCCTGAGGCACGAACCGCCCTGAATCCTTTCCCAAGCCTGGAAAAACTCCGGCAAACGGGAGGGCCCGACGTCAAGACACGAAAGCGCGATAGGAGCACCACCTTAGACAAGCCGTCGGATCAAAAAAAAAGTACGCAGTACCCAAAGGTCAACACCCACCATGCCGCCCCGAATAAACATCCCGCCAGTAACGCGCATCTGCCTCATCGTGCTGCTTGTCCAGTCAGTGCTGAGCGCCGCTATACGATACCGACAATGGACGGCCAACTCTGAAATCGTTATCCCATATCTGAACCTGATCCCACAGCTATCACTGGTCTACCCCTGGACCTTTTTGACGACGACACTAGTCGAGAGCAACATCTTCACCCTGAGCATTGCCGGCTTCACACTCTACCATGGCGGCCGCTACCTCGAACGTGCCTGGTCAGGCCGGGAGCTTGCCAAGTTCCTGCTCATCGTTTCCCTTGTGCCAAATGCCTTGGTCTTTGCTACCACCATCTTCTTCTTTGCCCTGACAAGAAATGAGGGGTGGACGTATGTTACCACTTGAGCGGCTATACCAAAACGCATGACCAAAGGCTAACCACCTCTACACAGGCTCATGACTATCGCCGGAACCATCCCCATCCAGATCTCCTTCCTCGTCGCCTTCAGCCAGCTTGTCCCCGCACACACCGTAACCCTCTTCAGGGGCATCCTCTCCCTGCGGGTACCTCGATTTCCCCTCCTTTACATCGGCCTCGTCACCCTCCTCTGCCTCACCCCGATGCTCACCGCCGCTTCGTTCCTCCTCGCCATCTATGGCCTCATCGTAAGCTGGACCTACCTCCGCTTCTACAAGCCCGTCTTCCCCGATCTCGATGCATCGCAACCCGCCCACCTCCGCGGCGACGCCAGTGAGACTTTTGCGTTCGCCCAGTTCTTCCCCGGCCCCGTCCGGCCTCTGGCCTCGAGCATCTCAGATCAAGTGTTCAACGTCCTCGTTGCTATGCGCCTTTGCACACCCTTCAGCGCTGCTGATGTATCAGCCGCCCGGGGAGACCACCACCACCACAACTTTGCTCAGCGCGGTGTGCCGGGTAGTGCTCGCGCCGAAGCTGAAAGGAGGAGAGCTCTGGCGTTGAAGGCGCTTGATCAGCGACTACACGCTGCCACGGCGAATGCGGCGGCCAGGGCGTCGAACGCACCGCCTCCACCAGCGGTTGTTCCTCCTATTCCCTCGGCGACGGGACCAACAGTACAGAGCCAACCGCAAGCTGGAGCGCAAAAGACCATGACGGTGCAGGGTGGAGGAGAGATGCTGGGGGAGACATCGTATAACCCTGATGGAGATGACCACAAATAGAGTGGTTATAAGCACTATAGTGAGAAGTTATGAATACCGGAGAGAAGATAGAAAGTGGAGGTGATGATGGAGGAGAAGGGCAAAAAGGAGGTTGGAAACGTTTTAATGACTGATTACTACCCCCTTAATTTTATTCGCATCTTTTTTTTTGTAAGCCAACGGAGCGAACAGAAGATCTTTTTATGGTTCATGGAGTTGGAGGTTTATCAAAGAAACGGAATTGGGCGGTAGGTAGGAGGAAATACCTTGTCAGCTTTCGTAGTTGTTATTATTCATATAACGGAGGGATGACTGTACTATATGCTGTTGACAAACTTGGAAGATCCCATACCCTGTGTTTCGCCTGGGCTTTTTGACACTTGGTAACTATCGTGAACAGCAACAACCATAAGTTGTCGTTGCAAGCGGCGGAGAGCCTGTCTTAGTCTCTCACTTCTTACGATATCTCAAAAACAACAATAACACATTGCGGCGGGGGCATATCCAGTATATCTACACATCTCCGAACAAGCACACTGCTTGATCACGGCAAGCTACTGCATCCTGGCTTGTCAAGCTCACAAACAAACCACACCCGATCGCTTCCTACCGGCCTGCTTGACGGCCTAGCGGCCAATGACATCATGGTTGCTGCGGCCCTGGAGGGGTTGCGTGTGGCCTTGTAGGTTTCGGCCGGCTGCTGGGCTGGCCGGAAGGGTCAAGTCAACCTGGTTAGATCTGGCTAGGTAGGTAGGCTTGGTGGGAAGGCCGCGCCGTTTAATGCTACGGATCAGATCGATGGATGGGGAGGTGCAGAAGGAAACTGTCCGGCTGGTGAGGATTCGGGCAGATGGGAGAACGTGGGTTGGGGGTGCTGGCCTGATATGCTGGCCGCGTCTTATACATGGTGTTTTATTTGCCTTGTTGGGTAGGGAGATAATCACAAGAACGGGCGAGTGTGGTTAGTCTTTGTAGGGTGTCACTGTTGTTCGGTAATTTGATGTGGTGTTGCCCCTAGTAACAGGTGGCAGGCGGTTTACCTGTCACATTCCACCATGGAGTGTGAGCTTGTGCTTGTAGAACAACCTAAACTTCATGGATAAAGATCCCTTTTCGAATGCTTCTTGGTCAAGTTTAAGGAATCTTTTTCCGAGACTCTAGCTTCAGGTCATGGCTGTGCTATGGGTGTAGAACCGCCTCGGGAACATTGATCGATGTGCGAGTTTCACACGTCCTGACGTGACAGCAAAGAACATGTGTTGTTGGTCCACTGAGTCGGTTAGACTCGGGACTGAGGTGTTGATATGTACGGTAATGGTGTCCATGGACTAAAGATGGATCTTCACTCAGCAGGAGGCTTAACGAAATAGTGATCTAGGGCAAGATGCTTATATTTATCTTAATTATCATTACTTTCAGAACCTACCTGGGTAGGTTGGCCCCATCGCCGGAGAGAGGCAAAATCCGCGTATGACAGTATGACAGTGGCACTGAGACACCAAATCACCAACCGAAAGACAGCGCTGAAACTAAATCTTCGAGCCACAAACAAGCAGCACACGGCATCTATTTCGGATATCATACCGTAGCACGCATACCCCATCACACTCGTGACATCCAGTCTGTCTGTCACCTGTGTCAACGGACCAAAAAGACAAGCCTTTTCCCCGTTCCACTTGCCCGTCACACAACCCCTACTCCTCAAGCTGCTGACATGGCAGTCAACCCTCGAGGGAGCGGTTTCCGGTGAACAAAAGGGAGCAACCAACATCCAACCCCATATGACACCCTGCATTTCCTCTCTGTGTAACAAGCAACAAAAAAGAAACTCTTGTAAAGAGAAACAAAACCCGTGCGTTGCATAGCACATGCCCTGTATCACCGTTCCATACATACCAAATCCCATCTTCGAGTTTCGGCAACCAAACCTCTCTCACATTTGATCCAGACCATCGTCATCTCCGTTCCCGTTGTTGTTCCAGTGCCATCGTCGTACACATCCATCCGTCCCTTTCCCCCTTATCTCTCACCTCGGTGAGTTCCCCAAGGTGAGGTGAATCCACACCTCCCATATCAAGCCAGAAGCCAAGCCGGGGAAAAAAGAAGATCAATCAAAAAGTCGTCAAAATCAATCCACCCCCACCCACACGCCCCCAAAAAGCGGGGCTGCACTAACGAAATGAAGGGTGTGTGCATCCACCAACAAAAAAACCGTGCCCATGCCGCCGGTAGGAAGGAGATAAAAAAATAAAAATGGGCCTGGCTTGTTTGAGATGGGCCGCGCTCTCCGCCGAACGATTCGATCTCACACGCTTCTACCGGGCACCTTCCTTCTCCCCGGCGGCACGGCCAGTTTTCTGTGGGGCCCCCGTTCGTGACGCTGCTGTTGTGAACCCTTGCTTCACATCTGGCGGCGGTGATGTGATGGTTCGTGAGTTTCTGGGGAGAGGTTCATTAATATCTCGAAAAGAAGGCCCACCCCCCTTACCACCAGCGGGTGTTATAGACAACCGACCGTCCTGATGATGAGATGGGCGATAACTTATCTGGCACCTGATAAGATCGCCCAACCCTACTCGGTGTGTAGGGTACCTACCTACGTCAGGGACCTTTCAACTCCACCACGCACACCAGACGAAGAGTTCCAGTGCAGGAGCTGGAAGCCCATGATCAACGATGATCATGCGCTGCGACGGCGGTGAGAGAGGGAACAAGACGAACCGCGGGGGGGAAGGGGCGGTTTTCCATCCCATCCTTCAAATTCCCAACCAAAAAGGAGGCAGTGAATGATGAGTTGTCAACCTGTCGGCTCTAGCAACGAATAATCCACCCACCACCCACCCATTATCTCTTGTCTTTCCTCTTCCCCAAAATGCTGACAACTGACTACCCACGATCAAGCCTTCTGGGCATTCTCTTGGCACGCAGCGAAGACAACGAAAATAAGAGGGGTAAGAAAGAAAAACGCCCGGGCTAACGCTGCACTAACTTCTAACCCCAACCCCAGAAAAAGCCGATTCGGGCCCTCACCACTTCACGTGTCTGCGGGAAGAGAGGGGGGCAACCTGAGGAACGGGGGGCCAAGTCTCGGCAGCTGGGGTTGATGACACAAGGTTTTCTGTTGTTAATGCATGCACACCGCCCGCATAACTAATGAAACGAGGGTGATCTGTCCTCCTTTCTGGTAAATGTTACCTCAGTCCACGATATCGACAGCACAAAAACTTCCTTCATTTTCCACACTCGATGGGTTGGAACTCGGGGGGCGTCTTTCTGGTCGTGGTTCATTTCAAAACCCCCCTGCCCAACCAACATGGGCCCCCGATTTTGATCGAGACAGATTCTGGAAATGGTGCAAAAACGCGCGCCAAGACCCAACCGAGAGGTGCGTAACCAGAAGCTGCTGCTCTGCATGGAAAGAAAAAAGGCCAACGCATCTGACACATGATGCGTCTGCATTTTCCTTTGGTCAAATGCAGGTTCGGCGGCTGGTCGGATACGGTAAGGTTGGAAAAAAAATACATATAAAAATGCCGGGCCATCGTCATGTCACAGCCTGAACCGCCCGTGGTGGTGGGGGGTGGGGAAAGGAGACAACAAGCGAGGAGCGAGAAGGGCAGTTGTTGGCGTGGACGTTTCTTCGAACCGGGAGAAGGAAAGTGAGCAAGATAAATACCACTGCATAATAAGCGAAAAATGCTAAATCAAAAGAATAACAAAACCACCGAGAAAAATGCCTCCATCTGCCACCGCAACGGGAAAGAACAAGCAAGCAAAAGCTGCAACATTGCTACCACGGTACAGGCACAGCAGGGGGGGTGCACAGTCATGTCCCACAAGCCGACGACGACGACGCTATCATAATGTATGCGCCCGTTCTGTGGAGGGAGCACGGCATGATTTGAGCCTGCCGCCCCGGGTAGCCCTCGACGGTTTCTTTGTCTCTTTTTAGAGCTTTCCCCCCTCGATATGGCTGCGTGTGCCGACTCGTACACCTACAGATCACGTGATATGACAGTAATTGGCCAAAAGAGAATCACGCATTTAAGCAAGTTGATTTCTTTAAATGGTTTAGACTACCCGTAATTCGAGACCAGCCCGATATTACGCTTACCTAACATTCTCCGCAAGACGTGAAAATGGAAAGCGGGACCCTGCCCAGGGAGAAGAGGAAAAGGAAAAAGCTGGGGTGCCACCGACCCACACTCGCGGATGGTTCCAAGAGAGACATTTCCCCGTTGCATCCATTCGGACCCCCCTGTCTCTGCCCTGGTGTCTGCCCACCCTCCTCAGACACACCCACCCATCACTGCAGAAAAGTGTGTGATGAGTTGAGCAACCTCACCGGCAGGAGCGTCAACCGGGGGGAAAAGTGGTAAATGAAGGATGGTGAAATCGGTGAGCGAGCGGGCAGGTGAGTAATGAGATAAGTATCCCAACCCCCCCCCCCCAGCCCAGGGAATGCAGCAAATCGGGCACATCGGACCTTCCATCTTCGAATCCCAGAAGAGATCTTCAGTCTTTGCGCACAACCGCCGCCTTTCACACCGGCTTCCACCCCCATCCAGCCACGGGTGTCAGCCTGTCAGCACCAAAATATGCTGTGTCGGGATCGACCCCAAGGGACCGGCGGGTTACTCTCTCTCGGCTCACCAACAGCTGATAAGCCACATCTTTGCTTCTTGATTTTGCTTTTGGAGGCACATCTCATTCGACTCTTCTGCAACAGTAGCGGGCAAATGGCAAACGAAAAGATGCCACTACGAGTTGAGCCGGGCCTGCATATTCGTGCATGTTGCAGCTTTCTAGTTGGTGATCACAGCGTCAGTTCTTGTCCTCCTGTAAGAGGTAGGTCCCAACACGTGCTGCTGTTATGGGGCTCTCTTGTGTAATCACCGTGTGCCAGACTTTTGCTTTCTTGGAGGGCAGGCTTCACCTAGGTGTCTCGTTTAGGATCATTTTTCCACTGTTGAATAATTCCAGTGAGGTCGGACAGTGCCGCAATCGAGACCGAGCTGTGCCTTGGTGAGACAGAAAAGTATGGACCTGATAAGTTGACCCAGTTGAATAGACCGCTTATTACCCAACCCAGAGGGCTTGGCACTGTTCCTTTCGAAAAGAGGCACGGCAGGCAGTTGGATAGGTGCTGCTTGTTATATGTAGGCTGAAGGATGGCTGGCATGCGGCACTGCCCCGTTTGCTTATCGACGTGAAACAGCCTGTGTCAATGTCAGACGTACCTTATATCTGTTTAGGTAGCGGGGAACTAGATCTCTTACTGTCTGTAACTGGGATCTGATATGCCATCAACGGGACGATTGCTTGTAGTTATGTCTTTCGAGCGAGCTTGAAACGAGGTGGGTTAGGTACGGAGAACAAGGATAATGGGGGAGAGGGGGCGTGTTGACTGGATCAAAACGAAACGTCGTTTTATGCTGCGTCCACTTTCCAACTCGCACCATTAACCCATCGATCAGGTCAGATCAGATCCAGATCGAGACTGGAAGAACGCCGGATGCCCGCGAGTCGCTGGTGGCAGGTTCGAGCCTGCCTGCCTGACACACCTAAATAACCCCGAGAGCTCATCCATCTCAACTGCCACCTAAATGATATGTTGCCCAACCCATGTGCATGGTGCGGGTTGCCTAAAACTGCAGTAGCGGCTGGCACTACGGGGAGTCACCCTCTCGCCCTTACCTTACATAACCCTCTTCTGCCTTCTATTCTTGCCCGTGGAACGTGCGCGCAGCCGGTGAGGGGCAGAGAGGGGCAAGGGGCTGCCGATGACCGTTTCTTGGGTCCCCTCGGTCGATGCGTCCACCTTCGGGCAACTTGGAAGAAAGAAGGGGGGACGTGATCGGCTTTCCGTCGGGGCTTTCCCTCTATCCAAGTTGGAAAGGTACTCAAAGATTCGAGTTCAAAAATTCTGGATATATCTCTCTTCGCTCAGCAGGGTGCCTGGGGGTTTCGTCGATGGCGTTTGACCATACGGTGATTTCAGCGTCATGCTGACACTGAAACACGGACGGGGCATGTGTGTCTTTTCTTCCTTCTGGAAGGCTCCCAAAAAAAAACAAAAAAAAACGCTGGGCAGAGATCAAATCAGATTGACTCTCCGAAAGTTTATGCGTGGGTAGTGCGAGTTGTCAAGACTCCGAAAAGGTTTACAAAGAAAGGTACGCCCTGTTGATGCCCCACTCGAGCCTCAATTCCTACATCAAGGGTATTTTTAATGTCAACTTTAGGATTTCAACGGTCTACCGGACTTTCTAATCCCAAAGCGCCCAAGGGGCGCTGCTCACAACTCCATCAAAATCACCTACAGGATGCATCAATGGCCGGTTTGCGGTGCGCCTCACCGTTGAAGTTCCGAGGTCTATATGCCTTACACGAAGACATTATTGCCGGCTTTTGGGAGTGCCTGAATCGCATCCAGGACCAAGCCGCCTGCTTGGTCTAATGTAGGTGCTGTGGTGAGCGAGAGATGCCAACTGCAACCTGTTCTCCTCAAGGTAGCATTTGTGAACAGAAGATCCTCCGAGATAGATATTCCCGTCTCTCGGCGTATTCACCAGCCGTTTCATCGACCAGGGAAATCATTTATATATCGGCGATCATGCTGTCTTTATCACTGTGTGGCTGGATAGGTACCGAGGCGAGAATGACAGCATGATCGTGTTCCCCAAGAGGAGGGGATAATAAGAGCTGACGGCTCGAGATTGCTCCCGTCCTGTACAAGCGAGAAACAGGCTTGCAGTCACGGTGCATGGCAGGCGCAGTTATTTTCCGATGATTTATCGAGCTCCAATTACGGCGGACCAGCTCATTTGGGGCGATAGGGTTCTGCGTCGCATCGTTGGTGACGGGCTGGCTGGTGGCTCGCTGGCTGCCGCTTGCTCTTGGCTGGCTGGCTGGCTGTGGTTTGTGGTGGAGTGGTGGTGGACAGTGGGCACGGGAGAGTGGGTGTGGGGCCCCCCTGTCTGTCTGGTTGCTGAGATGCGGGCGGGACGCATGGTGGAGGGCCGGCCGGCTCGTTGCACCGTCGCCACAGTTCTGCGGTATCCACTCTCCAAAACGAAATGGCGTAGCCGCTTCCTCCGGAAACGCCCTCCCCTGGAGGAGAGGTTGGTGTTCGGCCACCGACGTACCGACCAAGTACCCGGTACCTGTTCGAACCCTTGGGGATGCGGCCCTGGGGAAGCACATCAGCCGCCATCAGGCTGAGGAACCACACAGCACACATTCTACGAGAAACTTGTTTGGACAGGCACCGCCACCGAGACACACACACACACACACACACATACACACACACGGGGAAAATATGGGATGAAACGCTCGTTACCTGGTGATGCCTTGGAGCGGCGGGACCGAGCCCACGCGTCGTGCATGAAATCATCGACCCAAATGCCATCTTGTTCTGTCATCTTGTGTCGCTCAGTGATCCGTTTCATCCAACAAAGAACAGCCGATTGTTTGTCGCCATTGTTAAATTATTTCCCGATATCGCGCAGCTGGACCTATCGAGGTTCGTCATTTGGTCCGCGTCCCAGGGCCTCGATGACAAGAAAAAGAGATGGAATGGAATCGGAGCAAAATTGGAAAATCCAAACTGGAACTGGAGAGATAACAAGTGATGCCTGTTTCGGCGTGGTCCTTGGTCTGTTTAGCGATACGGCACTAAATTTTTAAGTGGCGGGTAGAGGCTCCCACAGCACAGCTTCGGCATGCTGGTACCAGGGACCTGTCGGGAACCTGGCGCGACTTGCCCACCCTCGTGCTGCAAGACATGAGCGGAACAGCCAAAGGGCCATCCCTCCACTCGCTTCTCTGGGCAGGGCTTGGCATGGGTTGGGGGAGTTGCCGCTGCGAAACCAAGTCGTACTCTTCCCATCCCGAGATTTCTTCCCGGGCTTCTGTTCTCTTTCCCTTCTTTCCCCCCTTTCGGCCTCTCAACTGACCTGGGCCGAGTGCTTCCACCAATCCCTTCCAGTTGCTCTCTATCATCTCCGTTTGCTTCACGTCTTGTTTTTCACCACCACCACCACCCCCGACCTCGCGCCTCCCTTTTACAATTGTTCCACTTTACCTGTCGCCTGAGTGAAATTGGCGAGCCGACGCCCAGCTTTTGGAGCTATCCGCCGTCGCCGTGACTCCCAAACCAGCAGCTCCCTCCACCATCTCGTGTCAGCGCGACGACACGTATTTTGCTGTCTCAACGGCGCCACCCATAACTCCCTGGGTAGCTAGCTTGATGGAAAGAGGCGTCTATGCTTAATCCAAAGCTTGTTTTTTGGTCGTAGTGGTACCTGACAACGCCCGCCACTGTTACCCCCTTCCACGTGCATCGAACTCCCAAGTCAGCCAACCTTCCCGGTGGCCCATCTCCATCTGCCTCAAAGCACAACAACATTATAACGCAACATGGCGAACCATCACCCTTCCCCTCCGATGCAGATGCGGATCCATCATCCCCCTCCTGGCGCAGTTGGACCTCCCGGCCCGCCTCCCCCTCTTGCGGCATCGCGTCAGACATCGACCTTGTTACAAATGAACGAGGTGGTGTGGATCCAGCTTGGTATGTCCACTCAACACTGCTGAGACTGGTTGTCACGCGACGCATGAGTACTGACGAAGCTGCAGGTAATTTGGCTGAACGCATGGGAAATCTGGAAGAAGCGATGACATGCTATGAAAGAGCTCTCACAGCCAATCCAAACTCCATCAATGCCTTGAACGCCCTCAGTGTCGTCCTGAGGACGCAGGAGAACTTCCCCAAGGCGGCGGAATATCTACACGCAATCATCAAGCTTGATGGGAACAATGGCGAGGCCTGGGGCAGTTTAGGTACGCCAACCCACACAGTCAATTTCGGTGCTACAAAGACTGACAACTATCTCTACAGGTCATTGTTACCTCATGATGGACGACCTTCAACAGGCATACCAGGCTTACCAAAATGCCCTGCTGAAATTGCCCAATCCCAAAGAACCACGCCTGTGGTACGGCATCGGTATTCTCTATGATCGATATGGCTCGTTGGAGCATGCCGAGGAGGCATTTGCCGAAGTCATGGCGATGGACCCGCAGTTCGACAAGGCCCATGAGATTTACTTCCGCCTGGGCATAATCTACAAACAACAGCAGAAATACACCCAGTCGTTGGATGTAGGTCATCAGAACTCTCCATGACGTTTTGCAAATACTGACATGATCTACTGCAGTGCTTCAGATACATCGTCACCTCTCCTCCCGCTCCATTGACAGAGGAAGACATCTGGTTCCAGATTGGACACGTACATGAGCAGCAGAAAGACGTGAGTTTCGCCTCTATCACGTCTGACCCGCCAGTGATATTGACCTTGTTCTAGTTTGATAACGCCAAGGCTGCCTATCACCGTGTCCTTGAGCGGGATCCCAACCACGCCAAGGTTCTCCAGCAACTTGGCTGGCTACACCACAACCAAAGCCAAAGCTTTGCCAGTCAAGACAGGGCCATCGAGTACCTGGAGAAATCTGTGGCAGCCGACAACTCGGATGCACAGAGCTGGTACCTTCTCGGTCGGTGCTATATGCAGCAGCAAAAGTATCCGAAGGCATACGAAGCCTACCAGCAGGCCGTATACCGCGATGGGAGAAATCCCACCTTCTGGTGTTCCATCGGTGTGCTTTACTACCAGATCAACCAGTATAGAGATGCGCTCGATGCTTATTCGCGTGCCATCCGCCTCAACCCGTTCATCTCGGAGGTCTGGTATGATCTGGGTACTCTGTATGAATCGTGTAACAACCAGATTGCCGACGCCCTTGACGCGTACCAGCGTGCTGCCGAGTTGGATCCCAACAACCCGCACGTCAAGAGCCGATTGCAACTCCTGCGAAGTGGAGGACAAAACGGCGCCCCTCCCGGACAGGCACCAACTCCCACTGATGTTCACCCACAAGCTTATCAGGCTGCAGGTGCAGTTGGTCCTCCGGGTCCTCAGTGGGCTGGCTCCGGCCCGCCGCCGCAGTCGCAACCCCCACAGCCGATGCACAATGGTGCTGGACCGGGCGGTCCCAACTCGTGGGCTGGCCGTGTGGCCGAGATCAACCCTCCGCCGCAGCCCCCCAACCCGTATGCTTCCGACCGAAGCGAGCAATTCCGGGGTCAAGCTCCTCCCATGCAACGCCCGCCCAGTCCGAGACAGGAGCAGCAGCCGAGGCCGTACCAGGAGGCAAGCAGAGGTCTGGAGCCGCACAGGCGTGGTCCTTCGCCTCCCCCGGGTCACTACGCAGCTCCCCCGCCTCCTCCCCCTCCCCAGCAGCAACAGCCGCCTCCTCCCCAGATGGCTGGACCTCCACCGCGTGTGCGAAATCCGAACTATGGAGGACACGCACCCGCCGCCGTTCTTCAACCGAGCAACGCACCTCCAAATGGAGGGGCCCCGAATCCTCTCATGCCATACCGCACCAATAGCCCGAGAAATGACGGCCGGGTCCCCATGCATGACAACCGTATGCCTTCACCAAAGTCGGCCTATCCCCAGCATCAACCTCCTTACCCCCCGCACCCGTCTGAGCAGGCTGGACCCAATGGTCCTGAGCCTGGTGTCCCTCATCCTCCTCATCAAGGCATGCCTCTTGACGGTCCCCATCACCGGGAGCAACATGACCCACGCCCTCCCTCGGTTGGCCCCAAGCGCATGCGTGAGTGGGAGGATGATCGCGAGTCTAAGAAGCCTGCCACGGAGGAGTCGCGCGGACGCATGGAAGATCTGCGGCACCGCCGCCCTTCTACTCCTCCGCGCCCTGAGTATCGTCGCAACTCATCGGAAGCCCACCGGTTCGACGAGCGGCGTATGGAGGACCACAGACGCGTAGAGGAACAAAGACGAGCTGAAGAGATTCGCCGTGCGGAGGAGCAGCGTCATGGCAACGAAGGGTATCACCCATCTGAGGCTGCCCATCATCCCCAGTCACATTCTGTCCCTGCTCATCTGCCCCCAATGCAGCAGGGCCCGTCCTCGATGCAGGGCATCATGCACGATGGACCTGGTCCTCAGCCCGGACCGAGCCACAAAGACTATCCCCCGGCGCAAGAGGAAAGGCGGATAGAGCATTCGCATCCTCCGGCCCCTCACCCACCCCCGGCGAATGAGCCCGAGCGCGCCGCCCGAAAAATGCATGTCAATGAGGACTACGATGACAGTGAGGAAGAGGATAAAAAGGGTGACATCATCTCCGGGCCTGCTTCTGGTCCCAGTTCAGCGACAGCTGAGATGAAGAATGGAACACCCACCAGCGCCAGCATCAATGGCATCATGAGCCAAAAGGTTGAGAGCAATTAGGACGAACCGATTGGCCGTTTTCTAGTCACGACTTGATTTTCTTTGTCACCGAGGGCGCTCTGTTTTGTGCGTCTTATACCAGTGTTTGCTCACGCATATTTGGCTTGTTTCCTTTCGTGTGTTAGGCGAGGGAGCGGTTGGTTTCGTGTTTTCGTAGTGTAAGTTCGGGGCATGGAGTGCAGGGGAGGCAGGGTCCTGTGCCATTGTCGCAACTGGGAATGTACATGTGGAATCGGATAGGAATGGAGAGCTTCAAAAGCTTTATTTGGCGGGACAACATCTTCGGGGTAGTAGTTCGTTGGGTTTGGTGTTTTGTCATGTATGGACTCTTCTTTCGAAGCGTTGCTTCACAGGGCGATCAGGCATAGGCATAGCCGCAGTAGTTTAGTTGCTATCCACAACATTTTCCTTGTTTGAAAGAGTTTCTCGGGCAGCTTGTGACTGTCTTTTAGCTTGATATTTGAGAAAAGCCAAAGTTTGGTATGGCGTATGAGCAAGGCATGGCGGTCACGTGACCAGCACTCGGAGCAGTCGTGCAGCGAAAGGCCTTGCTGGGGGCATCACAGAGTGGGGCGCGATTGAGAACAGGAGCAGTTCTCAGTGGGCTGAGCCAGTTAGGGCTCCGCTGCAATTGGCCCGAGCGCCCAGCTCCATTTTCCACACAAAAATTCAACCTACCTCCAAATTTCAGGACGACTTTTCTGCTCTTGTGGTTCGGACCTGGGGGATTTTTCCATTTCACATCACGGTAAAACCGAGGACATCAGCAAACCATGTCTCACCGCAGTGAGTAGCGCCCTCTCTTCGAACCTCGAATCCCCCCAGTCTCGATCCCAATTTCGATGTGGCCGGGGCTTCACGATGGGCGAATTCTGCGACAACATCTCTGGAGATCTGGTGCACTGCGATTGTGGCATCGGGACTGGGCGAGAAGTTTGCAAACGGCGACAGAGGACTGACAACATCGAACAGAGTACGAGGCCCCTCGCCATGGCTCTTTGGCCTACCTGCCGCGCAAGCGCGCTGCCCGCCATAGAGGAAAGGTCAAGTCGTAAGTGGAATATGAAAACCTTTCTCCCCTCAGACACCAGCCTCGGCCGAAGAGATGGAGGCTAACTGTTGTGCACCATGACAGCTTCCCCAAGGACGACGCCAAGAAGCCCGTCCACCTGACGGCCGCGATGGGCTACAAGGCCGGCATGACCACCATCGTCCGCGACATGGACCGTCCCGGTGCCAAGGCCAACAAGAAGGAAGTGGTGGAAGCTGTGACAATCATTGATACTCCTCCTGTACGCGCAACACAGCCCGCTTGGCTCTATTTATGTCAATGGCTAACATCTTTTACAGATGATTGTTGTGGGTCTGGTTGGTGTAAGTCATTACTGTCCAGCTGAGGAAGAAGAAGAGACGGCCGAATTAACACACGAAATAGTACATCGAGACTCCCCGCGGTCTCCGCTCCCTCACCACCGTCTGGGCCGAGCACTTGTCCGATGAGGTCAAGCGCCGCTTCTACAAGAACTGGTACAAGTCCAAGAAGAAGGCTTTCACCAAGTACGCCAAGAAGCACTCCGAGAACAGCGGTGCCTCCATCACCCGCGAGCTCGAGCGCATCAAGAAGTACTGCACCGTCGTCCGCGTTCTTGCCCACACCCAGATCCGCAAGACCCCCCTCAAGCAGAAGAAGGCCCACCTCATGGAGATCCAGATCAACGGTGGCTCCGTCGCCGACAAGGTCGAGTTCGGCCACGGCCTCTTCGAGAAGCCCGTCTCCATCGACACCATCTTCGAGAAGGACGAGATGATTGACGTTATCGCCGTCACCAAGGGTCACGGTTTCAGCGGTGTCACCGCCAGATGGGGCACCAAGAAGCTTCCCCGCAAGACTCACAAGGGTCTCCGCAAGGTCGCCTGTATCGGTGCCTGGCATCCTTCCCACGTCCAGTGGACTGTTGCCCGTGCCGGTCAGATGGGTTACCACCACCGTACCTCGGTCAACCACAAGGTTTACCGCATCGGCAAGGGTGATGCTGATGACAACGCCGCCACTGAGATCGATGTCACCAAGAAGACCATCACTCCGTATGTTGACCCCTTTTTGGTGAAATTTGAAGAGCTCAAGACTAACAGATTGCAGCATGGGTGGCTTCGTCCGCTACGGCGAGATCAAGAACGACTTCGTCATGGTCAAGGGTTCCGTCCCCGGTACCAAGAAGCGCATCATGACCCTCCGCAAGTCCATGTTCATCCACACCTCCCGCAAGGCCCTCGAGAAGGTCGAGCTCAAATGGATCGATACCTCCTCCGAGTTCGGTCACGGTGCTTTCCAGACCCCTGCGGAGAAGAAGCAGTACCAGGGTACTCTCAAGAAGGACTTGGCCGCCAGCTCATGAGCGGCGTCCGGTTTCTGATTTTATCGTTCATTCAATGGCAATGGTGTCACGGTTTTCACAGCTTTGGGTCGGGATAACGGGATTCTACCTAGCATTATCAGCTTAGTTTAGAGCTGCAGGAGAGGAATGGGAAAATGAACCAATTGCCATTGACTGTTTGTGATGTGTCGATGTGTTTTTTACTATCAATATACCCTTTTTGTTCAGCCTATCTAGAGTATGCCGAGTGGTCGATGTGAAATTTGCCCCCTCCAATCTTCTGGTCAGTGGTCACACCCCATGGCATCAAAGTGGGTCCTTGACACTGCCTCTGGCTGGGGATGCCCCGCGTCAGCTCACTGGTCACAGCTTCCCAGCAAGAAAACTGCGGTTACATCATCGGCCTTTGCCCAACTCGAGAACTGCCGGCTTTGGTTTGCTGCTCATGACCATGATTGCGCCCCTTTTCAACGGAATTAGTCGAGTTATTTTGTCCCACAGGGCTCCCTCCCTCTTTCAGATTTCATTTTCTTCTTTCCTTTTGACTCATACCAAGAACGCTTCGACGTACTCGAACACAAAGCTTTGTGTTTCTTGTCCACGATTCCCACCAGCTCGATCGTACCACTCTGCTACCTGCCTAGCTCTAGCCACTACACCTACCGCAGCTCCATTTCTACAAACACTACGATCTACCTCCTGCGCGTCAAGATTTCCCCGACAGAAGCGATTCTTCTCCCGCACTGCCGCCGTCAAGATGTCGGACGAGGATTACCTCGCCTTTTTGAACAAGGCCAACGCTTCTTCGTCTACTACCACCCAAGCCGCGAGTATTAGTGATAAACAGCACTTTAAACTTGTCGACCCCGGTGTGGAGGTTCCGGAGAAGCTGAAACAGGCGGTTGAAGGAAGGGTTTTTACGGCTGCGTCGTCGGAGGCGGAAAGCCCGTGTGAGGTTGTGGCGTTGAGGTTGGAGGGTGATGGGGGCTTGCCGGATGAGGAGGAGTTTGCGAGGATGATTGGGCATACTGATCCCAAGGGGGCAAAGGTGGAGATCAAAGATCCGGTGGATTGGGATCCGGAGGGGGGGAATAATGAGG